GGTCAACCACCTCACACATATGGACAGTAGCACCAACAGTCCGGTCAGCAACCACTGTACCCGCATCATACTTCTTCTGGCTGTGGACAACAGTACAACAATTTTTTGGGTCAACCGGGTACAGTCTTTTGTAATTCAGTTGTTTCATTGTTTTATACTCCTGCACAATCTACTTTTTGTACTAACACGGTTTCTGCAGGATTTCCATCTTTTGAGAATAATTTTGGTTCCGTACCACCACCCGTTGTCTGCCAAATCTGTCATTCTCCAGGTCATTCTGCTGTTTCATGTCCTCCTCGTTTTGCTCAACCTTGTACACCTGCCTTAGCTGTTCCCACTGGTGAATCCACTCCGGCTGTTTGGTATCCTGACTCCGGCGCTTCCGCTCACATGACAGCTAATGAAGGTATTTTAGTCAATAAATCTACTTATTCTGGACCACTTTCTATTACAGTTGGGAATGGTTCTACTTTACCTGTTATGACTGTTGGTGACTTGCATCTATCCACTCCGCCCCGATCTCTTCATTTAAAATCTGTGTATCATGTTCCACATCTTAAATATAATTTAATGTCCATTCAAAAATTATGTGCCGATAATAATTGTTTTGTGTTTTTTGATAAAAACTCTGTTTGTGTTAAGGGCAAAATTTCGGAGAAGGTGCTTCTTCAAGCTTCTAGTAATGGTGGTGTCTACCCCATATCACTTTCTTTTTACTCACCTGTTGCTCTCGCCTCACATGTTGCTCCTGGACCAGTCTGGCATCGTCGGTTGGGACACTGTGGCAGTCGTATTTTAGATAGACTTAGGAAATCTGGAACTATTCTTAGTACTTCACATTTTTCTCATGATTGTATTTCTCGTCGTCTAGGAAAGTCACAACGAATACCTTTTCAAGAAGTTTGGCATAAATCTACTGCTCCTTTATTTTTAATTCATTCCGATGTTTGGCAATCTCCTGTTCTGTCTGCAAGTGGCTTTAAATATTATGTTTTATTTATTGATTATTTTTCCCGTTTTGCATGGCTTTATCCTATGCGCCGTAAAAGTGAAGTTGTGAGTCATTTTAAAAAGTTTAAATTAATGGTGGAGAACTTATTTAATTCAAAGATTAAAATTTTTCAAAGTGATGGAGGGGGTGAGTTTGATAATCATGGTATGCGTGAAATTTTTCTCAGCAATGGCATTTTATTGTTGTGATAATCAAAGTTGTGAGCCTGGTTTTACAGGTTTAGTAGTTTTTTGTTAACGCATGATTTTGTATGCAGTAAGTCTGATAATTCTCTGTTTATCTATCGACATGGTTCTGCAGTGATATATCTTCTATAGTTCTATTATACATTGATGATATTATAGTTGGGATTTAGTCCCATTTAATCCGCAGTGTTACCAGATCATCTGTCCCCTGCCCACTTCGTCCGAGCCCCTCACCACCTGCCTACACTCCTCCGCTAACCACCATCCCTGTTACCAGCCCTTCCCCACCTTTCATTATTTTCACAATGGTATGCTGAAGCCCAGGGCAACTTAGAAAACTTTCGATTTTTTTAGTGTAATTTTTTTCATTTTTCACGTTTAGCCCACCCTCTCTAATATTTAAGTCTAGTATATTTTTTATTTAGCCCAGGGCATCTCTAATTCCTGGATCCACCCCTGGGGCAGAGGCTATTATGATATACACCATTCAAGTATATGCAAAATATTACGATGTAGAAGGTTATCAATTGGAAATTAGAAGAGTTAATTATCAAAATAGGACTAAAAGTCATTCACTTTGCACAAATAGGACCAAAAAATAAACTATGTTTCCATAGGACTAATTATGTGTGTCTTGGACAAATATACCCTTATACCTATTGGAATGTTTTTAATTCATAATAAAATAATAAAAAATAATAAAAATTCGTAAAATATACCAAAAAATAAATAAAAATATTTTGAATAATAATAAATTTAAAAAAAATTAAAAAAAATTAAAAAAAATCAAATATATATATATATATATATATTTGTCACCGCCGCCTCTGCCGCCCCAGCACCACCACCTCTAGTCATTTGGGGAAAAAATGTCAAATTTATTATGAATTCCATATTTTTGGCATAATTCAGAATGATTTAAGATGGAAGAAAAAAATGTTAGCATTGTCAAAGAGAAATATGCCATATTTTTGGCATTTTCCGAAAAAAAAATGGAAGTTTGTAGGAAATATGACATTTTTTTAACGGTCGGAGGTGGTGGTGCAGGGAGGCGGTACCACCACCTCCTGTCACCGGGGTAAAAAAATGCCAAAAAAATTATGAATGCCATATTTTTGGCAAAAGTCAAAAGGATTCAAGTTGGCAGAATGAAAATGTTGGCATTCTCATTGAACTAGTAGAAGGTTTATTTATGTCTCGACTATAGATAAAAACGATTATGTGAACATTAAAAAAGTAAGAGAAATTTGTTGATTTAGTCCCATAACTTATAGCTATATTCGATATTGGTCCTGTAACTTTATTAACTTGCAGATTACATCCCGTAACTAATAAGTTGGTGCAATTTTGGTCCTTCTCTGCCGGAACTTACCAATTTCGCCGGAAAAGACACATCACCTGCCACATGGTATATTATTTGGAACTCATTTGCTGACTCAATGTTGGCCCTTAGCTAGAGTTAAAAAATTATTTCTTCTTGGTTGCAGCAGGAGCATTTTGAATGAAGTTTAAATCTTTTTTTATTCATGTTTTAAGAATAAAGCATTTGAAATGTTACATCATTTTCACTTCTCACATCTTTAACATGAGAAAGACCAGGAGCAAAAACACTAGCCCCACAACAACTATGAGGAGCCTTTTATTTTTAGCCTTCAACTTTACAACCTCTTCCTCTTTTGAATTGAGTCTTCTAACCAATCCCGGAATTATCATCGTTCAACGATGGCACATAGGTGGGTCCGCCCCATTCAAAAAATCAGCAACCTTCTTCTGTCTGTATCAAAACAAGATGAAGCTTAACTTACTTTTTACTGCTTTGAACACAAAAATACATTATCAAATGCCCCCAACAAATAGAAGATGATAATTTTATTAGCAGAACCTAGCTTAAATTATAAAATACATTTTAATTTTCAAACAAATTTATTATTCAAATGCTATTCTTAAATTTCTAGTTTATTTAGTAAAAAAAGAAGCAAACAATGTAAATTAAAAAGCTGAACTTCTTACTCTGCTTCTAGTGCACACACGAAACCTCCTTCCAGGATCGTTATCAGTCCAAGAAGTTAGAAGAGAAACCTTTTTACCACAATCACACTCCATAAACTTTTATCTGATTGAGAGCCGTTACTAGCATATTTGAAGAATAACTCACTCTCTCAATTTAGTTCAGGAGAAATTTTCAGGTAAAGTTATATGTTCTCCCCCCTTTTGCAGATCCGATAATAGGCTTGGTATGGTTGTGCACGCACTTAGCGAAGAGCTTTCGTACTCTGGTTTTTTAACTCCAGCTAAGGGCCAATATTGAGTCAGCAAGTGAGTTCCAAATAATATACCATGTGGCAAGTGATGTGTCTTTTTCCGACGAAATTGATAAGTTCCGGCAGAGAAGGATCAAAATTGCACCAACTTATTAGTTACGGGATGTAAATTGTAAGTTAATAAAGTTACAGGACCAACATCGGATATAGCTATTAGTTATGGGACTAAATCAACAAATTTCCCAAAAAGTAAACATATCATGAAGCATGGGCCCGCATGATCCATTTATCATCATCATCATTCAATCATCTACTCCATATTCGTCAATCAATCGTCAAAATCAGAGGTTCTTTCCATTTCAAGCAATTTTACTGCGCGATGTACATCATTCATAATTCTGACAAACACGTGAAATACAAATACGATGATGTGCTCATATGTATGCAGAAAGGCATAACTGGCTCGATTCCTTGCCTGAAAATTTTAATGCGGTAAAAATACAAACTGTAAAAATGTAAGAACGAGAAAGCATACTGTATTTTTCCAACAATCCTGAGCATTGACGCCGGTGTTGTACCGCCGCGGCATCGTTCTACTTCTGGTGGGCATGCCACAGTATCATAGACGTCCGGCTCGGTTTTCCCTTCCCTTTCTTCTTCACTACCCTGGTTGTTTCTCCATCCCTAAATTGCTCCTTGTTTCTGCTCATTTAATTTGGATCCCAGTCAGCTTATTAGAGCATCTCCAATGTTATAATGTGCACGGTGCATATGTGGCATGAGTGATAGACACATAAATATTAGCATATAAATTATTTATCTCCTTATTTGAATGATTTTATACAATTTTGGTAAGTTTTTCCCTGCAATGTCAACAACAATGTCAACATTTAGACGGTCTCCTTGATATTGTGGAGAAAAACTTACCAAAAATGTATAAAATCATTCAAATAAAGGGAGAAAGAATTTATTTACTAATATTTGTGTGGTTATTTCTCATGCCACGTGTGCACCGTGCATATTTTACCATTGGAGATGCTCTTAGCTTCCTCCCCACATGATCGCTCTCTGTTTCCATGTTCAGCTAGTTTTTTGAATGCGTCTTTGCTGTAATTGGCTGTGAAGATTTCAAATTTTCGATTATTTGTTCAACTAGCAAATTAATCGTACGAAATTAATGATAACCCACGATCTTGTTGGAAAATTATTTTAGTATTTCAAATAAAATTTATTTTTAATTAGTTTATGATTAAACTATTAATTAATGGGTCTATTGGAATGCTCGTGGCTGACCAAATAATCTTTCTCCACTTTACATAATTAAATATTTAATATTTTGACAAATGAGTTGTTCAGATAACATTTTGAATACTTCCCAATAATTTCTTTTTTGAATTGCTTCCACTTTGACCGAGAAAGCTGGAACGTGGGTGTGCATGCTAGGATTGCCGCAACCCTCTCCTAAGTTCATGGATCATCACAAAAATTCTAACAACTCATTTTAGTTCTACTTATTTATACACATGCATGCGAAGTGTTTAACAGAGTGCAAGTGACCCACGTTCAAAACTATTTTTTTCACACAAAGCTGTATTATTTTCATACGTACGTAGCTGCGTATTAGTTTTTCTAAAGCTTTAATATATACTACGTACTTATACTCCGTTTTAGCTAATAAACTGCTGGGTTACATATAATACTTAATATCCTCGTAGTTCTGTGTCCGGCGATTCGCCGAAGAGCTTGTTATATCTTGGAGGAAGATTTCCGGCCACCGAAAATACTTTCTTTAGGACAGCGTCTAACGCGTCTCGAGTTGTTTTATTTTTCTAACATTGTTTTGCAGGTTCCGACGAAGAATATCTCCAACAATCTAAAGAAAGTATATGTCATCGGAAACGGCCGCCCCAAATTGCCGTAGAGAAAAGGAGAGTCAGTCATCGGAGTGCCTCATATCCATGGGCCATGGCTGAGATGAGGATGGACGAAAAGTCATCACATATGTGGGTCGCTGCTTCCTGACCATCCTGGTATGTGGACGGCAACAAGGTTCCATCAACACATTTGCCCTTATCTATGTTGATGATGTTCTCCTAGCAGGAAATAACATGGCCCACATCGAAAGTGTGAAAGGTTATTTGGATGCACAATTTAGCATTAAAGATTTGGGTCAATTGAAATATTTTCTCGGCATTGAAGTTGCTCGCTCTCAAGAAGGCTTTGTCTTAAGCCAACGCAAGTACACTCTAGACATTCTAGAAGAAAGTGGGCTTTTGGGCGGTCGTCCTAGCTCATTCCCCATGGAACAAAATTTAAAACTTCGACCGGACGATGATAGCCCACCAGTAGACGCCTCTTCCTATCGCCGCCTTATAGGGAGACTATTATACCTCACAGTAACTCGTCCTGACATCGTTTACTCTGTTAGTCATCTTAGCCAGTTTCTAAGTAATCCTCGGCAGACCCATCTTGATGCAGCCCTCCGAATACTTCGCTATCTGAAACAGACACCTGGGCAGGGCATTTTCTTATCATCTGATAATGATGCTACCTTAAAAGGTTATTGTGATGCTGATTGGGCAGGGTGCTCTTTTACTCGCAGATCCAGTACTGGATATTTCATCACTCTTGGAAACTCACCTATTTCCTGGCGAACAAAAAAACAGTCTGTTGTGTCTCGCTCTTCTGCTGAAGCAGAGTATCGTGCCATGGCGGTCACAGTTAGTGAAATTTTATGGCTACGATGGTTACTCGGAGACCTTATGATAACTCAAAAGGGTCCAACGCCGCTACATTGTGATAACCAAGCAGCTCGACATATTGCCATGAATCCAGTTTTTCATGAGCGTACCAAACATGTTGAAATAGACTGTTATTTTGTACGAGAGAGAGTTGCCACTGATGAGATCCAACATGTATCTATTTCTACAGCTAATCAAGTTGCCGATATATTCACCAAAGCACTTGGTGCCGACCGTTTTCAATTTCTCCGGAGCAAGTTGGGTGTTCGAGACCTTCACACTCCACCTTGAGGGGGAGTATTGGAATATTTAATATTTATTTCCCTTCTATTATTTCTTTCAATATTACATATGTAATGTTACAACTACACATGAGTACGTGGGTTACATGGTCTTGCATGGCCCATGCATGTTACCTTGTTATTTCTCATCATGTATATCATAGCATATATACCTCACGAGATCGACATGAAATAAACAAGAGAGAGTATTTTCTTCCCTTATAAAGTTTTCACATTTTAGTTTCATATTTCCATAGTGCTAGTCGATTTTAACATACGGTGTCATAGGAATTAGTTTTCTTTGCTATTGTTTTTGCAGCTATAGTTTTAATCTTGATAGCAATTCTGAAATGCTATATTGAATTAATGTTTGTACCGTATTTAAACTGTTTTGAAAGCATGATATATGGTTCATTGAGAATTATTAAATCGATTGTTTTGATACCTTTTCGCATGCTTGATACCTAATTTCATTTGTCAAGTTTATGTGCAAATCCATGATTGTTACTTAATCTGCTTGTTGCATTGGCTATTTCGCATGCATGCTGGTTAAGTGGCAATTCGAATCAATTTGATTCCTTTTATTGGGAGGGAGTCATTGTTTATCTCTATATTCTAATTATATTTGCTTCAAGTAATTGCTTTGGAGTTTTTCTGTTGATCGAGTTTTAAATTATGCATGTATGTACCGTTTTCGTCCATGTGACATGCAAGCATCACTCCTCTTGGGTTTGTAAGCTTTATATTGAGGTGGCTTAATTATTTACTTATACAAGTATATTTTGTTAGCAAACTTTAGAGTTTGGTTGCCTCACATGCTTATCAAATTATTTATATTTAGTCACGTGTTTTTACATGGTTATGCTTGGCCATGCTATTATTGTTGTTTTGATAAAAGTTGAATTGTGCTTACTGTTCATGTGCACGTATGATTATACGAAATTTAAACATGCTACGTCTTTCTCATGTTACCCGCATGTCATTACTCGTGGATAATCATTCCTTTTTGTAATGCTCTATGAGATTAAATATTATACTCCATATATTTAAAATGTGGAGGTTATTTTTTAACTCATTCTAACGTAAATGAGATACCATTAATTATGGCATAAATTTGATTCGGATTATCCGTTGTAACACATCGATACAACGATGATATGCTTATTGAGAAATAATCATTGTACTAGAGCAGTACAATGATGTTATATAAGAGTTATCCATTGTATCGTAATGATACAATGATGTTATATAGTTTATATATTGAGAATTATCCGTTGTATTATCAGGTTACAACGATGCCATTTGGGTTGATTCACATGAAATAAAATACAATTTATAATAGTGGATATCCATTAACCCATAAAAGTGGTGCAATGATGTTTCACAAATAAAATTGTCTCATGATTTTGAAGTATGGAATTATCTCCATTAATTATGTGAAACCCGACTTAATGTCGGAAGATTGAGCAAAATTGTGAAAACACAAAAAGTGTATTTGATGAGTTAAATCATTGTATTAAAGTAATACAATGATGATATAATTCTTAAATGATATTGTTGTAGAGACGTCTACGACAATACCATATGAAATTTATGAAATATAAAGTTGTCATGTAACTATGACAGGTGGAGTTAATAGTCTCCTTTGGCCGAAATTCTAGGATATTATATGTTATACACCGAGGGAAATGGACTGTCACTTGATAACAAATAGGGATGGTAACCCAACCTGTGTGATTGAAGATCCCATGAAGCAGGTTCATATGGGTAATAACAAGTCTTCTATTTGTTCCTGCTAGCCTATTATATCCATTTCTAGGGTGAGGCTAGACTGCATTCGCTGTGAGGCTGAGTTAAAACTCTTATTAATGATTTTCATAGCCTTATGGCCAGTGTATTAAGTGCAGAACACACTTGATGTGGTCACCTATATGAGTGTGAGGTGGGGCCGCCTCCATGAAACATGACAACGCTTCTAGAGCACTCAAGAATACCAAGCACGTGCATGGCCTAAAGGCGCACCAACGGTGTTAACGCGAGGAATTGTGGGGGGTGAGACATGACCATTAAGACCCTGACGTACCATAGTAGATTAGTAGCTTACTGGTTCATAGAAACTATATGTTTCACCAGAAGCTCGGTTTGTAAAGACTTAATCGTCTCGGTTTGGTTCATAGTCTTCGGACACCTGACTTAAAGTCTCGTTCCCGTTAATCCAGCAGATTTTCAAAATTAATTTTTAACCTCAAATGTTTATTTGAAATATGTGGGGGATTGTTGGAAAATTATTTTAGTATTTCAAATAAAATTTATTTTTAATTAGTTTATGATTAAACTACTAATTAATGGGTCTATTGGAATGCTGACCAAATTATCTTTCTCCACTTTAAATATTTAAATATTTAATATTTTGACAAATGAGTTGTTCAGATAACATTTTGAATACTTCCCAATAATTTCTCTTTTGAATTGCTTCCACTTTGACCGAGAAAGCTGGAACGTGGGTGTGCATGCTAGGATTGCCGCAACCCTCTCCCAAGTTCATGGATCTATCACAAAAATTCTAACAACTCATTTTAGTTCTACTTATTTATACACATGCATGCGAAGTGTTTAACAGAGTGCAAGTGACCCACGTTCAAAACTATTTTTTTCACACAAAGCTGTATTATTTTCATACGTAGCTGCGTATTAGTTTTTCTAAAGCTTTAATATATACTTATACTCCGTTTTAGTTAATAAACTGCTGGGTTACATATAATACTTAATATCCTCGTAGTTCTGTGTCCGGCGATTCGTCGAAGAGCTCGTTATATCTTGGAGGAAGATTTCCGGCCACCGAAAATACTTTTTTTAGGACAGCGTCTAACGCGTCTCGAGCTGTTTTATTTTTCTAACATTGTTTTGCAGGTTCCGACGAAGAATATCTCCAACAGATCTTAATAATTAGGAGCATTTTTGAAAAAGTCATCATATATTTCTTTGTATATTTCATGAATAAAAGTCATCATATATTTCTTTGTGTATTTCATGATTCATGAAGCATACATTTTATTTTATTTTTTCATACTTCAATGTTTCAACTGACAGGCATTGTTTCAATGTTCTACAAATTATTATGCAGTTATTTTAATCTAAACAACACTCCTAATCGATCATCATTATATAAAAGCCCCATCCCCATGGCATAAAGCAGCACACGAGTCTACCAGATAAAAGCCTCAAAAGTAGAAATATTGAACAGAATACCGTCCCTGAAAATACTTCCAACTTTCCCTTTTCGTCCGTCCCAAAAAGAACTTCACTTTCCCTTTTTGGCAAAAAATTTGTGATTCATAGCATTTCTCTCTCCTCTGCACAACTCTCCACCACACAATTCTCACTTTCTTAATCCGTGTGCCACTTTATTTTGGAAGTAAATTCAGGGACGGAGGTAGTACTGGAAAATCTTATCAGCGACGGCGTAGACTTTTGTTACAGAGAATTAAAAGTTACGAAGTAAAAAAAATACAACATAGACAGTAGAAACTAGGGGTGGACTAGGACGAGTCGGTCCAACCCGGATCCTACCTGCCACGGCACTATGTAGTCCCAGGCCGGCCCCGTTGACCGGGCTCCGGGACCAGGCCCGGACCCGACACGTAGGAATAAATAGGTGGGCTCGGAATTTACTGGACCAGCATGGACGGGCCAGGCCCAAATGGACAAATATTTTAAAAAATGGATTTGGGGCCCTTGGGCTGGGACGGGTCGACCCGACCCGGGTCCGGACCGAAGCCTTACCCGATACCGATACATACCTGGGCCAGTACCGGGCTTGATTATTTAGGACTCGGAGCCCACCCAGTCCCGATCCAGAGCCCGACACGGACCCGGCCTAGTCCATGCCTCGAAACATTGATGAAAGTTGATCAATCTACACTATAAACAACTTTAATCAATTCGTGGTAACCTATTTCTTGGAGGATGTGTACAAAATATACATGAAATATAATAAAATCTATATTAAAAAAACATCGAATCAAATCAACTAGCCTATTCATTGGGGAAAAATGGGTGATGTACACAAAATGTGTACACTTTTTTTATACACTCGTTTGTTCCTGCAGACAAGTTGTCTGTCCAAAGACAATTCTGTACCATATTTTGTGTACATCTAGCACTACTCATTCATTGTCACGAATGTATTTTCAGCCAATAAAATGTTGACATCCTGTTGATTGGGACAGGTGTAATTTTTGCCAATCAAATCTCACCAACCTATTCTGGACATTCGTATTTTCTTCATGAAAAAATCATTCCTTTTTCAATAACGACTACTACTCCGTACTACTTAGCAACTGGCAAACACTTTTCGCATGAATACAACTCAATCCTTATTTCAGGATGAATAACAATTACTTGTATCGTTAAAAAAAACAATTACTTGTATCCTCGCTCACATATATGCATGCTACCAATACGAATGGCAAAACCGGATGAAGAACAGGACTAATTACATATGTGTTCAATCTTTGATCCAAAGGTTCTACTAATAAGTATGGTTCGATACTTTGATCCAGTCTAAATTCATTATATTCTGGTCCAGACCTATGGATTAGAAATAAAGTATTATATTCATTATATATCTAAATACTTCATCTTATATTTAAACACTATTAGTCTATGATAGAAGTGTAATAATGGTGTAAGACCGTGAGTTTCATTTCCAGCGGTAGGACATGATACAACTTTAAAGTTCAATGATGGATTGAGAACTTGAATATATTGGCTGGGGAGCGCCGAGCGCCATTGGGTGATGAGCTAGATCCAACTAAAATGTAAGGAGTAATAAAAAAAAATAGTGGATGCAAGGGTACGGTAAAACAAATGATGAACATTACTACACTCATTTGAGGGTTGAAGGAAAACAAGATTGAACTTCAAAAACAGAAAAATAAGCACCCCAGCCTATAACATACGCAAGTAGGTATAACACATAGAACATACATATAACATAAATTAAAAACATCCTTAATGGTAGTACAATTATAAATTAATGTGTCATAATAAATGAATTCCTTATATATTCTATATTTTAGAATATTATATTGATACGATAGTATATCTTTATTTGTCTAAAGTTTTTTAAGGACATCCACATCCATAGATTATTTTGATGATGTGGATGATTTCTTTTGGGATCATGGATAAGGAGTTGAAATTATTTTATGAGATTATTTGATAAAATAATCTGGTATCAAATTCTAAAGCTGGATTATTTTGAGATTATTTCCAACTTCTAGGCATATACTCATAATTGTGGTGATGACTAGCTTTGTAGTTCGTGCATGCTCATGCTCCTATATCCAAGGCAAATTAAGATCATGAATGAGGAGAAATTTATTGGCTTGGAGATTATTTGAGATTATCTTCTGTGGAGGTGACATGGCAATAATATGCCATGAAAAATCGTAAAGTTGAAGATCATCAATGTTGATGCTCTAATATTAATTACAAGAAAAGGAGTTTTTAATCATGTTTAAATGTGTAGTGTGATGGGTATTTTCACTTGAACTCATTTTAGTCTCATATCAGACTGTACTCTATCCGACTTAGATTCAATATGCACAATGACTATTGGTGGAGGGAGTGTTATGGTTTACCATGTCCACATGATCTAGCAACTTATATTCATCATAAGTGTCCACTACATCCATCTAGTACATGAATTTTGGAGAAGCGTTAAATGGTATGTAAATAAGGAACAAAGTAATGACAAGGCCGATGACATAAGTGTTGACGGTGTGGTCCTAAATATCATGGTTGATGCGTTTCAATCAGGTCGCATGTCAGCACAAAAGAAAAAATACTTCATGCAAAATGGAATGAGATGAGAAGAAATCCAAAAATTATTGCTATCGCAGAGCCACCGATTCATGAAATGAAGGGAAGGCCTAAAAAATTGAACCACTCGAGAAAATAGTGTGTGGGAGTACACTCAGAAAATGTATCAGAAATCCAAGGGTACAAGATCATATCATGGGTCTCGTGGACGTGGCAAGGATATTACAGGGATATCTTACAGAGATCAAAAATCGAGTGCAATTTAATTCCAGTATTGATGTTGAGACATTCATGCTTGAGCATATTAGTAAAGTTGTGGATGTTATTGGAGATGGAGATTGTGGATATCAGTCATTTGTAGAGGTTTTAGGATGGTGAGAAGAAGAATGGGTTAGAGTTTGATGAGAGTTAGTTGAAGAACTATATCCTTATCGTGAACTGTAGTATCATATATGCCATATTGACACTATTGACGACATGCACGAGCAAATAACTACTACATCGATCCTGCACCACCCAGCATTGGTTACACATGTTGCACACATGCTTAATCTTTGCAACGTTATACCAGGTTAACTTAGCGAATTTTGACCGCATACAGGTTAATTCTTGTAAACTAATTATCTTGATTTATTATTTGTTTGACTAATTTCAAAGGTGGAGGGCCCTGTCTTTTGAAACTCGATCGACACCATGCAGATTTCACATTACAGTCATATATGTTACATCACAACATTTAGGATGTGAATGATATTTAGGATGTTTTAATTGAACTAATTTTGGTCCAAATAGATTCAAATAAATTAGATCAAATGAGACTAGGCTAGATATAGATTATACTAGTAGTAAATACACATTTATCGGATGTTCAATAGACTTGACTAGATTTTTTTTAATTTTTACATATATAATATTGGTATCATATGAGAGATCATAAAAAGTTACTCGTATTTAATTTGATATGATTTTTATAAAAATAGGAGCAAAAATGAAAAAGTTATACGAGTAACATTTTATAATAAAAATTTGCCACATGGTAGCAAGTTATTGGATAGAAAGTGAATGTAAAATTGACACATGGGCAGGCTATGTGATCTACAAAAAGTAAACATCTATTTAATTAATTTTAATTTAATATTAAAAAAGGTCAAAATTGTCATCCCATGGTCACGTAAAGTAAGAAGGGGGGTGCGCAAAGCAACCCCCTAAAATTTGAATGTTCAATATGTTTCATGGACCATAAATACACAAACCCTAGACATTGTTGTGAAGAAATAACATAAAATTACTTGAAAATACAAATGAAGGAGATCTTTTTTATATTTGGAAGGAGAAAGAAAATTGAGGTGAAGAGAGAAGAGTGGAGACGACTAGGGTATTTAACCTTAGCCGCTCCCCAAGTCTACGTATCTACGTTTGGATGGTTTATAGTTAGATACATAGTACAATATTAGCATTTATTTATAATGCTAAGATGTATATTGTGCATTTCAAATCAAATATCATCCCAATAAAAAGATTGTTTCCAAATTTCAAAAAGTAGAAACTACTCATAGATTGAAGTAAAGGTGTGGTGCAAATATAAGTCCAAAATCCAAACCATTCACTTTCACTATTGGAGTGCATAGAGTTATTTTCTATATCTTGGTGAATTGTTAGTGCAATGAGCTCAAATAATTAGATGTCAAAATGATTTTTAAATGATTACATGACCGGAGAGAGAATATTTATTCACAATATTTTTACTAATTACATGAGTTACCTCCCTAAGGTCACGTATCGTCTTTCCCATTGGAGGATATAGGGGACATGGGGGGCAAGCGCCCCCGCTTCCGATAAAAAAAAAAAAGAAAAACTATTAACACTAGGGCCATAAAGAAGCACCCCTTTAATCTAGTTGAACATTATTTGTTTTAGGCATGTTTAGATTCAATATTGTACAACTACTAGGAAGAAACACAGTTGCGGTGATGAAGAGAAATGTATATTTAAAACCCATTTCCAAAGTGATATCATTTTGATTTCGAGTACAGCCAAAATTGTAGAACTGGCCTACTTAAATGGGTCAATCAGCTACCGAATTTTTTATTTTCAAAGTTAATAATAAATATGTTAAATATAATAAATTTTATTAGTATGATATATTAAAACGGGTCAACACAGCGGTACCGATTTTTTCAAATTTTAAAACCTACCTAATTCCCAAAGATGTATTAGGATGTTTTTACTTGGACTGAAATCTGTCCCAGATCAGATCAACCAGAACAAACCAGACTTAGATAGTTATAAATACAAAGAAACCAGAATTATCAGATCAGACCAAATCAGACCAGACCAGCAAATTACAGTCCAAGTAAAAACATCCTTACCCCCAAAGCTGTATTAGCCGATCTGACCTGCGGCTCTTTTACCATTTGCTGATTTGCCCACCCCTAGCAATATTGGGGTAGTTGCTAAAAGTCCTTGCCTCGGAAGTTATGAGCCGCGGGTCAGCTAGGACCTCAGCTCATTAAAACTTTAAAAGGTCTTCTTTTAAATAACCGATTGCTTCGTAAGTTATGAGCCGCAGGTCAGCTAGGGTATTTCATAACTTCCGAAGCAATCGGTTATTTAAAAGAAGACCTTTTAAAGTTTTAATGAGCTGAGGTCCTTGCCTCTTTTACCATTTGCCCACCCCCATGTTAATGATGTATATATGCATCTATTATATATGGGAAAACTATCAAATAAGCTCCCAACTTTTCAAAAAAATCAATTAGGCCCCCCTACTAAAAGTTGAACCAATTAAACCCCTGAACTCATTTAAAAATGGCAAATCCTCCTTTTAGTAGGTTTTCTTTCAATTTTCCAGCTAATTGCCTGTGTGTGATGTGGAATATTTTTGTTTTTTTGTTTTTTTCTTCCTTTTTCCTTTCTTTCTTTTGCTTTCCTCTCTTCTTCCCTGCGTTTCTTCCCTGCGCCTCACCATCTCTGCAACTTTTCCCTTCAATGTTTATTTCTTTCTTTATCCATTTTCTTCTTCCACCTAGTGTTCTGCTCAAATTTCCCGGCCTTCACCCTCCTCCTTGAGCCTCTTCTCCACCCACGACTATGGTTCACGGCCAAATTGATGCTACAGATCTGGGTGTGGTCCGAACTTGGAGGCTTCACAAAGCACCGTCGCCGACTTGTTGACCCAGAATCTTCAACGGAACATCCTCCCCGACTTCCAATCCATCAAATCGCTGAAAAGGGGACAACCGGCGTGCGAAGTACTTTAGCATCTCCGGCGACCTGGGTTCTTCTCGGACTGTGTGCAGTGCTGCGCCGCCGGAACCAACACTTTGCTTGGCAGAAGAAGAAGAAGAAGAAGAAGAAATGGAGAGAAGGAAGGGTGGGTGGAAGAAGAAGAAAGGTGGAAGAAAAGAAAGAGGGGAGGCGGAAGTTTGCTGGAATGAAACGGGCTGGTGAAATGAGAAAGAAGTTGGGGGAAGGGGAAAAAGAAAAGAAAATTTAAAAGAAAAAGAAAATGAAAATGAAAAAAAAATCAAAATAGCCATGTGTTGCCACGTTTACACAATAAACGGGTAACCTATTGGTTATCGGTTAAAAAGAAATTTTGACATTTTTAAATGAGTTAGGGGGTGTAATTGAGTGAACTTTTAGTAAGAGGGTCTAATTGATTTTTTTTGAAAAATTGGGGGGCTTATTTGATAGTTTTCCCATTATATATGAATGCATGATTTTGTGTTACCCTTCGAGTTAAGATAGTGTAACCGGTATGTCTTTATTTGTGTTTGAAACAAAATGGTGTCATTCCAACGGTAATCATCAAGCATTATATGATCTAAAAAATAAATCGCTTCTCACAAGCAAAATTCAACACTCAGAGTGCGCATTTTAGCTGCACTCTCACATAAGTTAAATACTTAAATCCATGATTTATCTATCATCCCAACATTCATGATTGTTAGAAAAGGTAAAATATTGGATGGGTGGGTGGATGAAACCTTGACATTCCCAAACCCTATCAAAGGAGTGAATATTTATTGTGCAAAAAGTCAAACTACTCACGGAACAAAAAATTACAGTGCCTTTCTATTTCTATTCTACAGAAACAACAGCATTAAAAGTACTTCGAAAACAAGCCTCTGCTCATGCTAAGGGAGAAATAATCGTCTGTTGATAAAGGAAAAGTGAAGCCCGCAAGCCCAATATATGATCTTTCAGATAATCAATTCCTTCTCTGCGAGTAGGAAACAAGTGTCAGACTTTAGGGCTCTCCATATAAAGAGGACCCGGATAAGAGGGGGAGGAAAATTAGTAAAACAATACCGAATGAACGAACTCTTGATAAAGTAACAGTAATGTAATAGTAAATAGTAATAATCAGAGGCCGGTGGGCATGAAAACGTAAACTCACAGAGCATCCTCAATATTAATTAAAATAAAGTCTACATTTCAATAGTTGTATTTGGTTAAACAAAGAGTCATATACAGCGTTTTCAATAACAAAAAAGTTTACTTCAATGATTTTGATGTAAGACCCTTCCCCCAAAAAATGGTTTCACGAAACGTAAGGGACTGATTTTTTTCAATGGAACATTTTTTGCCTCTTATTTCTAAAATCATAATATGTATATTGCTAATTAAAGAAAATTGGGGGACTGAGAATTAAAGTCACTAAAATTAGTGGTGCGGTGTATAATCCTAATCAGCATTAAAATTGAGGTTGTCGGATAGGTCTACACGGTTTTGATGGGCAGCTGCAACCACAATGGAATCTCGTTTAGAATGAATAATTATTAATTAATAGACACATTAGTTAGGTTGCCTGCACACCTATGAGTCTATGACCAACCTGCCAAATGGACTAATTGGGTTTTTCTGTGCGGGGTGGGGGGAGTTGCCGGGTCACCAAACTAGGGCAGCCAATATGATAGTTTTGCAGAGAATAAAAGTATGAGATGAGATTGATCATTTACCAGAGTTCTGCCATGCCAAAATATAAATGAATACAACTTATAATTTGATGAAACGAGGCTCTTTGTGTATATACATATATAGGTCAATCCCAGTTTAAATTGTGCTTCGCATGCAAAATGCATACAGATACACTTTTACTAGCCCACAGTGCAGTTTCAAGTTAAAAATGATTCACTTTCCGCGTTTGTGAGAACAATTGGTTTATTCACCAAAATGTCACTGCGTTTTAGAATCAAATTGATGCATGTTGCCACATCTAGAATCTTAAATCCAATGATCCAGATTAGTTTCATTTTGTGTGATGACAACTTTGTATTTGATCCAAAATTTACATATGCATATGTATGTACATGCAAGTAGGGTTCTAATGAGAACCCCTTTTAGAATGAGAGCTCATTTATACACCCCTTTTAGAATGAGAGTTCATATTTCCAATCAAGGGTTAGAAACAACAAGGTGGCACTTTTGCAATAATATACAATAATTATAAAAATACCCCCGTTTGTTTTGAATAATTACAGAAAGAATCTTATGTGCATCCTAACCAATGATTGAATAAAATGAAAGGTAGTGATTAAAAATTCTCAGCATAAGGACTTCTCATGTTAAGATGGATTCTCGCTACAACCTTCCCCTGTACATGCACATACATGCTGTGTCTATGTTCAATTATTTTACAATCTTGCAAATTCTTATGGATTGCAATGACATAATCAAAATATATTATGTCAAGACATGAGCTAACGTAAAGTTAAAAATGGGCTATCTCACGCAATTACCTTACGTTTCTTGTGCTGCTTTCTTTCTTTACCCCCCAAGTCAATTGATCGATCAGAAACACCTTCATCAAAATTTAGAGCCATCGCCTCATCAAAAAAACTCTCGGTCAGCCCCTGTAACCTGTCAACGCACAACAACAACAACAACAACGAAAATAATCAAGCTTCATTCATATCGATCATGCATCAATCAGGCAACACAAAATTTATTTGGTTTACCCGTTTTGTGACTTCTTTAGACGTTTCATTTGCTTCTTCTCCAATTTTGTGAGAGGGGCACGGTTGAAAAGATCCTCCTCTTTTCTATCACGCTTTTCCATCTTATCCATATACTGTCTAAGTTCTCTACTCTCTGCTCCAGACTCCCTCCACTGAATGACTCTCGTGATTAGATACAATTAAGAACATAAGTATATCCCTTGAGAGAGAGAGAGATAAAATAGCAGAAATGGCCACAAACCTCTTCAGGTTTTCCTTCAATATCATTAATCAACTCTTTCACATATGTGTTTTGTTTAGACTGTCGAAGCATCTCTTTCTCCTTCCTCAGAGCATTCCTCTCTTGTCTTGATGTCTTACCTTCATCCATTATAGCTGGAGCAAACTTTGGAGGTTTATAGATACCATTCGAGTCCTGCAAATGGCAGATATGAAGAATAATATCAATCTAATAGACAAATATTGTGCCAAATTAAAAGGGAATGTTCATAGCATGACGTGACTTTTCTTGCATCCATTTAAAGGGGATATTGTGTCATATACTTCTCGACCACTTTGATCTATTTAGGAAATAAAACAAGTTAAAAGAAAAAAATCTTAATAATAACAACTATTGTCTGTCGACTTGTGATAAGACAGATATAGGGGGTGTCTAGATTAACATCTTAAAACTACATATGCTCCTTCAGAAAGCACAAGAAGTGTTTGGTTGAAACTTGAAAGTGCAGAAATATAATACTACCTCCGCCCCCTAAGATTGGGACAAAGCGGAGTGGTGCGTTTTTTTTAGAAAAGTAGAGTTATGTGGTTGATAATGAATTGATAAAGTGGGAATAAAGTAAGAATGAATTAGAGTCACACAATTATAGTGGGACAGATTTAGTATGGGACAGACGGAAAACGAAAAAATGGGACAATTATAGTGGGACGGAGGGAGTATATATTATTATTATTTGTGATAGACGATAGTTGATATTATTTAAATCTATTTTCCTGAAAATTTAATGTGGCCCCATCTTTAACAAGGAGTCGAGTTTCACACTCGCTTGTCCACTTTGATCAAACAAAAAATATTGTTTCATGCAGTATGCTAAAAAGAGTGGAATGTATATGATAAGTTGAGCTAAATAAAAAACTGAAGTATCATTTTGATGTATGACCACAATATCTTATTAAAATTCAAAAGAACGTGCATTGGTAAAACACAGCTCTTTTGGAGGGGGTATATAAACCCATCACTTTTAATTCTTCGTAAAATACTCACTTCTGCAATTCTTTTGCTAGTCATCAACTCAGGATTGGGACGATATTTTAACAAGTCCTCTTGAGTTGTATTTGATCCTTTGTCAGTCGAAACTGATTTTTCAGCTGCAGTTTCAGATACTCTTGTCAGCTTCTGAATTTGATATTGCATCTTCTTATCAATAGGACGAATCTGCACAAGACATGGAGTTGAAAAAACACAGAATAAAATAAAAAAGAAAAGTTGGTTTACACTTGACATCCTTTTATGGGATAATCTGCACTGCTTTAATTTCCTTTAGATGATACATTTAGGATCTATCTGGAAGCTAGAAAATACAATGGAAAAATTATGAAGGGAAATAGCAATAAAAGTATTGATGGAAAAACATTGCAAGCAAAATATTAATATGAGAATTCAGTGGAGCATACAAGCTAAGCTCACAATAACAAGAACATCCAAGCCTTAGTCCCAAAAGATTTTGGAATCCACATACAAGCTAAGCTCAAAGTCAATAAAATTACTTTAGATATGTGGTGAACTCATTTCACTTATTTGTATTCATTTATTTCAGTATACAGGATTAAAGATTAAGAAGCCTAAATGTGTGTCAAATGTTAAAAACATTATGCATAAACCATTTTCCTTTGTGTTCTCCACTGATCCACTCTCGAGGCAATAATAAGAAAATATTGTTCCTCACTTTTCTCCTATCCTACAAGGCTATTGTCTGATGCAAGAACAAGTTTATTGCATCAATCATTTTCTTGCTCTCCATGTCTCAAATGCTTTCCAACAGATTTTACCCAGTCAATCAACAGCAAGTCAACAGCCATACGGGGTCCCAGACATTTGTCTCTGTGCCAACTTATAAGGCAATATAAGATGCAGAAAATAAATAGCAAGAGCGTAAGTGGACAACTAGCTTCCCCGCTTGGGGTCTTTTGTGATACCTTCTCCAGAAAGAGTCTTATCTCTACAAGACTACGAACAACAGGGTGTCCGTCAATTGACATCCCCTTGGCCTTCCGAAGCAAATAATAGACCAGTGACTGACAATAGTTCAGAAGTAACAGATGTTTCACTTCAAGATAGCTTATACCGTCTGATGTTGGAAACTGATTTCCTTTCACCTATACAATGAAATCTAGAAGTTTGAGTTACAGAAGCAAAAAAAAAAACTAAGAAAAAAATTAAAAAATATACGTAGTATATATATACTAAACTAGTAAGCTGTATAAAAATGTGACAGCAACAACCCACGTCAAACGTTGATTGTTGCATTCTTAGTTCTTACCACATAAAGTATAATAGGTATTGCAATTCATATCAGTCAGAACTTAACAATTTTCAGAAAATTTTAGAATTATAAATAGACGAAGTTGTGCAAGAAAGTAAATATAGCTGATCCAACAAGGAAAGTATATATCAGCTCCCTCTTTATTTAGAAAAAATAGTGTCATTGACCATAATCTAGCCAGTTATCTACCATCTGCAATTCAGGGGTATATGATATACAATTATTCAGGACACACTGAATTGCAATTCTTCAACATCATGAAGCAATAGAATGCTCATAAAATTTGACAACTGATTGGAGAAAAACATAAGCTCCCTTACCTTTGAAGTCAAAGCCTGCACCTTGGACCTCACGGTATCCAAGCCTGCTTTCATATCCTTCAGCACCTCAATCAGCTGAGGAGCTTGACTGCCAACTCTTCCTTCCATGTCCAATGTTGTAGCCTCAACCATTTATGCTGTTAAGTTTACCAATACACTCGTTAGAAGAACTTTTGCAGTTCAGTTTTGTGATCGGCTAAGATAGAACTAGAAGTTAAAATCCCAATGCATGACACGTTTAAAAATATAAAATAGATAAGCTAACAATCAAAAAACTAATTAGCAAATAAACAGTTACTCTAAGTGTCTAAATCAGAAAATATAAATTAATTAATTAATTAACTAAACTTTATTGTAGAACAGTGAGTTAGAAGTTGTTCTCTTCACCTGATCTGAATGTTTCTGATTTGAATTTTTTAAGTTCTGATCTGATCTGATCTGAATTTTTCTGATCTGATCTGATCTGATCTGAATCTTTCTGATCTGATCTGAATGTTCCTGATATGATCTGAATGTTCCTGATCTGATCTGAATCCTTCTGATCTGAATCTTTCTGATCTGATCTAATTTGAATATTTCTAAAATTATAATTACAATTATAATTACTATAATTATAAATGTAATTACACATATATAATTTAAATATAATTATAATTATAATCATAATTATAAAAATTATAATTACAAACATAATTATAATAGGTATAATTATTATTATACGTATTACACTAGTTATAAATGTAGTTATAAATATAGTTATAATTATAATTGTAATTATATTTATAGTTATATTTATTTCTATAATTATAATTTTAATTATAATTATAATATTTATTTCTATAATTTTAATTGTAATTACTCCGTATAATATGATAATAACGAAAACAAAACTAATAAAAATAACAACAACAACGATATTAGTAGTAAGAATAATAATAATCATGATAATAATAATAATAATAATCATAATAATAATAATCATAGTAATAATAATAATAATAATAATAATAATAACAACAACAACAACAACAACAACAATAATAACAATAATAATAATAAGAATAATAATAATAATACTAATAATAATATCAATAATAATATCAATTATAATAATTACAATAACAACAACAAGAATAATAATAATTATAATTGTTATAATTATTATAATTATTATAAATATTATTATAGTTATTATTATAATAAAAAGGATAAATCATGTCTGGACTTTTCTGATCTGATCTGAATGTTCCTGATCTGATCTGAATGTTCCTGATCTGATCTGAATGTTCCTGATCTGATCTGAATCTTTCTGATCTGATCTGAATGATTCTGATCTGATCTGAATCTTTCTGATCTGATCTGATCTGATCTGAATTTTTCTGATCTGATCTGAATAAAATAAGAATAAGCAATAAGTAATAAGATTAAGACGAACAGAACAGCTTCTTAGTATAGAGCCTTTTTTATGGACAGTGAATTGGATTTATTTCCTATGCCGCATAAGGTAGACTCATACAGTTTCCGATCTCTTCTGTGTACTAATCTCTCACATACACTCTATATGATGCATAAGACCATACATAAGAAAGGCACATCATATAACGAAACATTGGTAGGGAATCAGGTTCGCAGAGATTCTGGAAGACTCTACAAGACTCTGATGAGAAAAAGAAAGATATCTAGTTGTCTGTATGGTGGTCCATTTTTCTTCACAACCCCTAGTAATGAATACAACATCCCAATATACCTTAAATCTTAGCTTCTTCAAGACTTCAACACGCCCATTAGTATATATGAAAAATTAAAGTGCAGATAAAAATGTAAACTGCATTAAATTATCCTAAAATTTACTTGACAAGTTGAAAAAAAATACAGCCACATACTCAGAGGTAGATCTAGCATTTCAATCCGAGTGGGGGCCAAGTTTTGATACATATAATATAACATTAATTGCATAAAAAGTAAAATACAAAATAAATACCACAAATGTTTTACAAGAATAAAAATTTACATTGAAGCTAAATATGAAAAGCACATCACAAATTCATGATCGTACTTTGCAAGTTTTCATATAATGATATCACCTCATAATGACATCATTGTCTATTATCAAGAAGAAGATACCTTTTTCTCTATGGGTTTACATAATCTATTTGAAGTTTCAACAACTAAATCTACTAGAGGCCATTACAATTCTCAATTTCTAATTGAAATATCTTCATTAGCTTCTACTTCAACAGATTTAAAGTATCTCTACAAGCCTAACTTCATTAACATTTTTACTCCACGACAATCCACCACATCATTGTATTAATAGTTTAATTAATACTAACAAATGAGAGTAATACTCACAAATCACAATCATGTTAATACTAATAACTTAATACAAAATGTCTAAGTAGTAAGATTAATACAGACAATGATATTAATATTAGTTGGATTAAATGATTGATACTTTCTCCGCCCCGCTAAGATTGTCTCATTTTACCTTTTCAGTCCGTCCCACTAAGATTGTCACATACCAAATTTGAAAGTTTGTGTGGCTTTTAATCATTCTTACTTTATTCTTACTTTATCAATTTAATATCAACCACATCAACCACTTTTTATTGGTTTGCGTGTCACTCCCTCTTGCCCCATTGTTAGTGGGACGGAGGGAGTACTACACTGTGGGATTAATATTCATGGACACAAATCACAATCATATCATAAATTACCCGAAAAAGTTCAACACAAATCACAATCAAATTACAGAAAATTACGAATTAAGAATATCGATTTATGATATCAAACTTTCTAAATAGGCAATGTTGTGAAAATGCCCAGCACGTGTTAGTCCGTAGTAACTATGATTGAGGTCGAACAACTAGGCAGATGCATTGGGGTTTGCTATGAACTTGAGGTATCATAAACCGGAAGATAAACTTTAGGTATTAGCGGGGAGACTAAATTTCAAAATCTTACATTTCACTAATTGAAATTTCAGCAACCTACAATTTACTAATTAAACAAAAAAAAAATGGTAATCAGTAATTGAGTCTGATTTTTTAAAAAATAAATATCAGAAAAAATCACTTACTGAATCTGGATGTTTTTTCTTTTGAACAAAATATGGAAATCAATTTCTAATTTAGGTTTACCTAGCTGAGTAGCGAGTAACTGAATTTTTTCCAGCTTGCAGGTGCGGCGGAAGGCAGGGCTGCGCGGTAGCCGGTGGCGGCTCGCGTGTTCGCGGGGTTGCGGCGGACGGTGCTGGTTGATGCCGACTCTGTTGATGAAGAGTGGTGGTCGCCTCGTCAGTAGTGAATAGTGATGAACACTAAGAAGAAGATGCGGTATTGCGGTTAGGGACCTAGGGTGTGTTACTGTGTTCCGTTCAAACACCTAAAGGGCAGCCAAAAAAGGCGGGGGGGCCTACAGAGGCTTGAAAAATTGATCATTTAGGATGTCTTCCGTAACGTTTCTCTTTTTCTGTTTGTTTTTTTTCCTTAGAAAAAAACAGAAACACGTTTGGTAAAAAGTTTTTTTTTTTCCAAAATCATAATCTTTGTAAGTGTTTTTAGAAAACGAAAATATAATGGAAAAATTGATAGTAATAATCCCAATTATTGGCGGTCCGCTTATAATAATCCCAACTGTAGGGACCTTCCGCCAATAATGGTCCCTATGAATAAATTCTTGTAGTTTCTAAAGTGGATGAGATGAGATATAACAAGTAATCCCTATATATAATCTCAACTTTTAATTTTTACGCTTAATTTCTGTTTAAAATTCACTTTTTATAGAGGTAATATCTGGTCATGGACCATTATTGGCGGACAGTATTATAGTTGGGATTATACAAAAATAATCAATAGTTGGGATTAAGTTTAGCGGACCGGCAATAGTTGGGATTATTATTTTCAATTTTTCCAAATATAATTCTGAAATCCACAAAACATAGTTTCTATAAATTTGTTATCATTTATCTTCAATACCCAACTACCGGGACACCACCGGGACACAACCGGCCACCACCGGACCACCACCAGCCACCACCGGACCACCATCGGACCACCATCGGCCACCACCGGCCACCACCTTCCACCACCGGCCACCACCGGCCACCACCAGACCACCACCGGACCACCACCGACCACCACCAGCCACCACCGGACCACCACCGGCCACCACCGGACCACCACCCTTTAAAAAACAAAACGATTTCAAAAAACTGAGAATAGAAAACTAAAAACAGTTTTTCACTTTTTTGTTTTATTAAAACCAAAAACAGAAAACTCAAAACTATACCGAACGAGCCCTTACTTTTTTTATCTATAGGGTTATTTTGGACATTTTAATATTAAACGGTGTTTTATATTCTTTGAAGTAAACATGAGCTTACAACACTGCTTATTTTATGTGGCGCTTATTCACGCGAGTCTTAATAGGCACCGTTTAGTAACCCATAAAGTAAACGTGTCCCAATTGTTTTTTACATAGAAAAAATGATTAAACTTAAAAAATTATACCGGTTCCGTTCTAAAAAAATTCGTTATATCGATTTTTGTTGGTCGATGATGACAAACTTTGAACAATGATTTTAATTATTACTACATTCGTCCCATTTGTATTCGGACGGAAGAGGGTGACACGGTTATTAAGAAAAGTGGGTTTGTGTGGTTGATATTAATTGATAAAGTAAGAATGATTTAGAGCCACACAAACTTTGCCAAATATGGTATGAGACAATTTAAGTGAGACTTTCCGAAAAGGTAAAATGGGACAATATAAATGAGACGGAGAGAGTATATTTATATATAATTTATAAATTTTATATTTTAAGAAAATATTTATAATAAAGAACATTTTGATAGAACTTTCATATTCAAAAAAAAATTGTATTAAAATGCAATTGCTCAAAGTTGATTATTGTCAATTTGGTGAACCTTTTCGGGATGGAGAGCGTACTCTTTATAAACATTTTATATATAAAATCTAATGCGGTTAATAATATAAATACCTCAAAGTACAAAAGAGTGTGAGATAAATACTTCAAAGATTATACTCTTTATAGACATTATATATATAAAATCTAGAACGAATATTAATATAAATATCTCAAACTTTAAAAGAGTGTGAGATAAATTTAAAAGATTATACTCTTTATAGACATTTTATATATAAAATCTAATACATATAATAATATAAATACTTCAAACTTTACAAGAGGGTGAGATAAATATTTCAAACTTATATATGTAATATATATACTCAGAACTTTATGTAAAAGTTATTTTCGTGCCATGCTCATATGTTTTTTACAAATATAAATTTACAGCAATAAAAATATAAATTTACAGCAATAGGTGCATTACTTAAAATACTCTAAGCTTTATTTGGGTGTTGTACTATTTAAAATTTTATTTGTGAAATAAATAACATAATTCGGTATAATCTAACATTAATTGCATCCTGGTAAGTGTTTGTGTATTTTAAATTATATACTTAATACAAGCAAATTACATTTGTGAAGAAAAAAAAACATTCGATCATGGTTCTAACATAACTTTTTCTATAAAGATTGATATATATATATATATATATATATATATATAGAGAGAGAGAGAGAGAGAGAGAGAGAGGATAGTTCAAATACAAAGACCTCTTCCCACGCAAAGTGAGAATGAATCTTGTGCATTTCTTTTCACATGCAATGGCTCAAAATGAGCCAAAAATGCACACAATTCGACCAAAATCGCGGTGGCAATTTTGTAAATATGTTGCACTTTTTCGCCACCACGAAAAAGTGCACTAGAAACACGAAAAAGTTCAAGCGAAACATTAAAAAGTGCATAACTTCGCACTTTGCACGGGAAGAAGTCTTTTTATTTGAACTCTTTCCTCTCTCTCTCTCTCTCTCTCTCTATATATATATATATATATATCTAAAAACATTATAATTGTGAATATAGGTTAGTATCCTTGATTTTTGTCAATGCTTTTTATACAAACAAGCTTGTAGGTTTTTATTAGAATGTAGTACTAACGTTTTTAAGGACTAAAGTAACCTTACTCCGTTTAAAACTTAACTTTGCCAAGTCCCAATCGACTAACATGAGTGAATTATACTGCCATTATGACTTTATGACTACCCTGAAATACGTTAGTTTCAAATGTGATATGAATTTACACGGTATCATAATTAACTTAGAAAATTAAAAATCAATAATGGATCAAAGGGTGGAATATTTGAGTAGAATAAAAATAGTGTCACACTTAATAACTCTCGCTAAATTGATATTTGTTCATAATGTTTCCTTCCCTTATTTTCATTTAATCTTAATGGAGTCTTTTACTCAATTGAAATTATAAAGTTCTAGTTGAAGTGACTAAGTCCCCTAATTCTGGTGAAATTTATGAAAATTTTGTTGAAGTGGTTACATTGGCTAATTTATGAAAATTACTTTATGAAAATTTAAAATATATTTCATCCATGAAATAAAGATAAAATTATATGAAAAATAACTAAAATGTTCTCTACATTTACATCGGCCAATTTAACTAGAAAAGTAACACATACCTTACTTATTTTAATCATTACACAATTTATTGTGTGAAATTACATGTTATGTGTTTGGTGAAAATGTTAGTTGATAAGACTGATAACATGATCAAAACGGGTTCTTAGAATTTTGTATCTTACAAGGGTTATAGATATCCTTGAAAAGGTCAAAATAAATGCATAACGTTCACCACAAATAATACAAAGCTAGCTAACATGCGTAAAGTATGCAAATTAATTATTATTATTACCAAAGCAGTAAAGTTTAGGATTGAGCTGGGTTAGTTGCTCGATCAACTTGGCCATTTAATAAGCACAATGACCTAACGAAAATAAACTGTTACATATGTATAATTGTATAATTGTGTTGTCCTCAATGTCATGCTCTCTTTAAGAAGACCATCTTGTTCATATAGTATACTCCCTCCGTCCCGGAAACAAGTTTCCAATTTCCTTATTTGGATGTCCCAAAATAAACTTTCATTTCCTTATTTGGCAAATTATCTACATCAAAATAGTGCAAAACAGTGTCAAAGAGTGCAAAACAGTGTTGAAACAGTGCCGAAACAGTAAAATTTACCACTCAGTAAATTTATTTCCTAAAAATGTGTGAAGGTCAACCCGGGAACTTGTTTCCCGGACGGAGGTAGTATATCTCTGTGTTCTTATGAATTTGTAAGTCCAAGTAGCTCTATTTAATTCAAGGCTCAAAAGGTAATCAACCCATATATTATGTTCAAGAGCCTTAAACCTATTATCATTGACAATTATTTCACACTCCCTCGTTTTCATTTAAAGTAACAAATGCATGACAAATGTTATTTATCTCTTCACGGAACAAAATTCAATCACAAAGTTATCACTTTATTATTCTTTGTGATAGTCAAACTTAAACAAGTTTTAAGGAACATACGGATATGCTAAAACAAAAAAATATAGTCGAATCACGTAACTGCATACTTTAAAGTCATATAGACATATTTTCCACACAACAAATGGTTGACATGGAATATAATTGATCTGGCTATTTTTAAAATATGTAGGATTTTTCATTAACTGTTTACATAATAATTTTGCGTCTAATTGTTTTTTACGGAAAAAACATACTTAAATATTGGGCTAACACTCTCGCGCATTGCGCAAGTACAAGCTAGTATATATATATATATATATATATATATATATATATATATATATATATATATATATATATATATATATATGTAGAGTAATCTTCCGGTCAGGAAATTCCTGACCGGAGCGCCGTCTAGCCTCCTCCTTTTGGGGGCCTTCCCGGTGGTATTTTTTGCTCAAATTTTTTGTGTATGTTCCTCATCAAGTCTAGTTCACTTGCAAAAATCATTTGACAACCTTCCCGATTGAATTTTTGGCTGAAATTTTGTATGGATGAACTAGACTTGATGAGGAACATGCAAAAAAATTTTGAGCAAAAAAAACCACCGGGAAGACCCCCAAATGGAGGAGGCCGGACGGGGTTCCTGTCCGGAAATTCCGGACAGGGATATTTGTGTATATATGTATATGTATATATATCGCATGTGCATGTTTGGGGTACTAAAATTATTTTCCCCTAAAAATGATAAAAATTGAACGAAATAAAAAATTAGGCTCAGTCTTGTATAATGTATTTAAGATATTAATTTTTTTCTTCACGTTTCATTATGAAATACTTCATTCGTATCACAATGACTGTCTCACTGTTTTTTTTTATGTATCAGAAACAATGTCTCACTTCTGTTTTTTGTAATAGACCCCACATTCTTCATTCTCTCTCACGTCGCCGATATTCTCTCCCCCAAGTCCCCTTCATTAACTTATACCCAGCCCATTTATTCTCCTACACCCAATTTCTCAATACCCCCGTTTCTCTGGCCGCCCTGATTGGAATTACTGTTTGGCCAAGCGCGTTTGAGGTGCATTCGGGTGATTTTTTTATAAAATTTTGTGATCATATTCTTTATCAAGTTTAGAGTATCTCCACAAAATTTGAACATAAAACTTCATCGCGGGGACAGTTAAATAAATTATTTAAAAACATTGTGCTTTATGTGTGTGTAAAGCACAATGTTTTTTAATAATTTATTTACCCGATATCACGATCGAACTTTAATTTTAAATTTTGCAGAGATAACTATACTTGATTAAGAATATGCCCACAAAATTTCCTCAGAAAAATCATGGAAGCCCCTCAAACGGGCTTGGCCGAACGGCGACTCAGGTCATGCCAATTCTGACAAAAGCGCCACTCTAACAATAACAATATTAATAATAATAACAAAAGAGGAGGAGAAGGGACAAGAAGAAGAAGAAGATAGTTGAATGCGTATTCCATAATACCTTAAAGTGATGCATCATGCATGAGAGACGACATCCTTGGTAGTTATTTGTTTGTATCCATGCATGAGAATTAGCGTACTATTTGAAATAAAGCTATGGAACATGAAGACAAGGGATAAAAGTGAAATGCTAAGTCTAAATGTGTTTCAAATTTAATTTGATTGTTTTGAGCCAATGAGTCAAGCCGGTCATTCATTTATCAAACAATAATTCTAGTTATTTAGATAGCCAAACTCATTAATTGAAGGCAAAGAAGAAGAAAATGATTGATAAGTCATTTTTCAAACAAGATCAATATAATGAACCCCAATTCTCCCTTCCCCGCTGGTCAGGCCTTCCCTATATGTGTCATCTATCTCCCTCCGACATTCTCACCATCATATACACGCCGTTGCCCCACCATCACACACCAATGTGAGAGGATCGTCACTCTTCCCTTCTTTTATATATCTTCTTTTAAATCAGTTTGACAATCAGGGATGAATGTGGATATGAGTTGACTATAGATTCGTGACAACAATGAGTAATAGGTGAGACTATGAAGGGAAATGGTGTAGGTGTATGAGGAGATGACATAAATGGTGGTTTGGGTTTATGGGGGCAATGACGCCCATGGTTCGGCTATGGTTATTAATCGGTGTAGACCGATGACGTTGGGTGACTTAAGTGTGGCAGATATGTTTTCCTACGACTGTGGAGGCATGTAGATAAAGGTAGAGTGTTGGGAAGGGGAGCAATGATGCCAAAGAAAAAGGGTTGTAGAGTGAGAGGCAATGGTGGCAACATTGGGGTGGGCGCGGGCCAGTGGGTGACAAGTGAGTGGGTGGCGTTGAGGTGGTGGTGGTCCATGGGGGCTTAGTGTTACATTGTGGTATGAGTTTGACTAGTGTTGAGATGTGGGTTTAGATAGGGCCATATATGGGCTGCAATTGTTAGGGGCAATTAATTGGGGGTGGGGGTGAGGGTTGAGGTGGTGGTGGTCCATGGGGGCTTAGTGTTACATTGTGGTATGAGTTTGGCTAGTGTTGAGATGTGGGTTTAGATAGGGCCATCTATGGGTTGCAATTGTTAGGGGCAATTAATTGGGGGTGAGTGTGAGGGTGAGGGTTTGGTTGAATGATGCATGATAGAAGTGAGAATTAACACTTATGACATGTCATCACATTTTAGATTGTTTACCATATACTCCCTCCGATTCTAACAAAAGTTCCACATTTCCTTTTCGGGCAGTTCCACAATTAAGTTCCACTTTCAAACATTACCTTATTTGGAAATTTATCTACATCAAAACAGTTCCAAACAGTGTCAAACAGTGTCCAAACAGTGCACTCCGCGGTAAAGTCAATTTTTTCCCTTGATATGTGTGAAGTTAAAACCGGAACTTCTTTGAGAATCGGAGGGAGTATAAATTATCATAGTTATTTTATAATAAAAAATACGAACTAGGCCGCATCCTACCTTCTACACATAAAGGACAATCCTCTCTCAACAGTGGCTTTCTTCCAATTCTGCATTAAATGTATTTATAAGTTATAAAATCATTTTATCTATCATAAATACATCCGCAAATTTGCCCTCTACACTTTATTATTCATCCTCAAGTATCACACCCAAGTATCAATCACAAGAATTCTTGGTTCAAGGGATGTTTTCACGGGTAATCTTTTTATGAAGATTCTGTAAGTGAAGGATCTTTGATGAGTGGTTCTATGCACATTCGGGGGATAAATTGGTAGGCAATGCATTGAAGAGTGAGAAGAGAGCTCCTATTTTATCGATGGGCGACCTTTGAGACTTCGATACGAATGATGACATGTAACAAAGCTTTATTGGTCACAATAGAGAACTGTTTACCCCTGGAAATTTTGAACACACAAATTAAGATGTACATGGGAAAGTATCAACGATCACATCGTATGATGAGTAGATCCAAAACTCGATCGGAATGCCGAGTATGTGATTGAGTCTTAAGATTTTATTGGGATGAACTTTTATAGTGTACAGCGAGTTGAGTTATTTAACATCTTTATTTGTTCATCTTGTAACATCTTTCTTCATTTTCCTTTTTTGTTTTTCTTTTTTCTTCTTGCTTCTTTCTTTCCATCATTTCATGTTGGAATTTTCATTAATAAGTTTATTAATAATTTCCTCAGTTCTGTTTAATTTTTTCAATTGTGTCAATGGTTTGATATAGTGAGATTTCCCTAAATAGGATTAAATAAAAGCAAAATTGCAACAATAGAAGTTCAAAGTTAAAACATCCAAAATAGGATTAACTCTTCCTATTCTGCTTTTTCCATTGTCATTTCAATAGTTTTTTTGAAATAATAATAGATCATAAAAAAATTTAAATAAAAAAAGAAAAACGTAATAAATAAATAAATAAATAAATAAAACATATACATGCTTCAACCACCACCTTAGCCTCCTTCCAGCACCGCAACCACCAGTTGCCAAAAAAGAATGTCAAGTTGAAGAAAAATGTCAATGTGATGTCAATTTTGAAAAGAAAATCGGATACATGTTTTCACTTAGTAAAAATGCAATTTTTATGACATTTTCAAATGAAAGTGGCAGTTTTTACGCAAGTTGACATTTTCTTTATGACGATCGAAGCTGGTGGTGCTAGGAGGTGGATGATGCAGTGGCAGTGGCCCACATATTTTTCCAATAGTTTTTGTCATTTTATTTTTTTTTTTAGAATTTTTTAAGTTTTTTAATATTTTTTATTTTTTTCCCATTTATTATTATTAATTTATAAATATTTTTTATTATTTTTAAATTTTTTATAAATAAAATTATGATTTTCTTATCAATAATAAAAAATATAAGAAGAGAGTAGAATGTGAAGAAGGGACATATACTACTACTATTTTGAGAATGAGAATAAATAAATTATAATCTTATCATTCCACTTAGGGCTGAATTATAATCTTATTATGACACTTAGGGCTAATTTTATGGCGTGTTTGGTATTTAGCAGTTAACGGATCATGTTAGCGATCTGTCAATAGCGAATTTCAGTAAGCGAGTTTGACTAACACGAATAGTTGGTGAGTAATTTAGACATTGATTATAAAATATTAAAATTAGTAAAAAAAAGCCATATTTCATATAATTCATAACACTAATTCAAAACTTGCATATTTGTACGAATAACTATTTGACTATTTCTTATTTTTCGACTGAAACATCATCATGTCATAAATGCTTAATTTAAAGCCAAGTGCCACACATTCACGCGCTACTACGGATCAATTGTGATGCATTCACTCTCACCCGATCCAAAGCTATTTTCTTCTCTCTGTAATGTTTGTAATGACATACATATCCAGGCCTTGATCCTCGAGCACACATGTCCAGATCGACGTCAGATTCTTTATCTCCACCTCTTCACTACTCTCCCTAAATCCTCTCTTCTTCTTCTTCTAAGCCACTAAATCAATACTGATCTTCTCAAGTCAAAAAAATATTGACGTATGGATTTTCTACTATTTCCATCTTTATGACTAGCGCACTCCGTCGTCAACACAATGCAGTCCCATTGACTTCCACTCCCGAAAACTCGACGATCGCCGCCCTGGTCGCCGGAAATGGCGATTTCTCCGGCAAATTTCCTATTCGGTTTCCTCTTACTCTCGATCATCCTATGGCTTCTCTTAACGTAAGTAGCCATCGTCGAGTTACTTTCGCCTCCTATCATTCATGTCCAACCTGTAGCCCCTTTGCTTGACTCAAGGGCCTACCTGGCATGTCCAACACATGTCGGTTTGTAGATCTCTTTAGTTGAGTTGTGCATTCTAATAAGAGTTGCTAGTGTGCACATGTAAACTCAAAATTGGAGCTTCTGTATTGGTTTTACCTTCTTTCTGTTTTCATGTGTTTCTTCCACTGCTTTCTATGGTATCACTGATTGTGAATTTTGTTTCAGTTTTGCTTCTGGACTAATAGCTTGGACTTTGAGCCGATTGTTGGGGGGAGCATTTGTAGGATTCCGTGTTGCTGGATGGAAATGTTTGAGAGACGTTGTCGTGAAATTTAACAAGGTTCCCTTTCCTCTCAGGATTTTCCCCTCTTCACAGTCTGCATTAAGTAGTTTCATCATATATGTATAGGGAAAGTTCCTGAAATAGGAGTAAATGAGTAACATGACCGTATTTACAGTCAAAGTAGTTGCAGTACTAAGCATTAGCATAGCAATATTTACTTTCATTAATGGCATTATTTTTCAATCACCACGGTAAGGACTCTTGTTTCTGGAAGAAAAACATAACACTCTCATTTTGGCATTCCAAAACCTGTTAACTTTTATTTAGGGCAATTTCCCTACATAATACTATGTTTTCCTACTCTATGGAACTAATATATTCATGTTTAGTTTCTTCTTCTTCGTCATGTTGAAGGATGTGAGTTCAATTGCTTTTTATTATTCTCCTTTTATATTAATACAATGTTGAAACATGGATATAATACTGAGAAAGCATATCTGCTATGTATAGAATGGTACACTTAAAAACAGCTTGGTAAATGCACTTCGTGTTGAGCATTGGGTGAGTATTGTTTGGTGATTATTTGAAGATGCTGGGAATAGATATGTAGGATGGTCACTTGGTGTTTTTTACTGTTATGCTTTCATGGAAAAGAAATAAACATGTTAGGCACATTGGCCAAATGTACTCCTAGTAGCGGACTATTAATAATAACTGTTGAATTTCTAGATACCTGTACTAGTATATCTACATCATTAAGAGTGCTTAGCTATACACTCTGACTGGAAATGCTGTTACTTCAGTCAGTATCTGGAATTTGTTTATCCATAGGGGGAGTCATTATTTTTTGGCTTGATAATATGATGGAATAAAGCAAAATGACTCACTAAACTGTCTGCTCTTCTTTGGTATGAAGCAGTAGTCAGTCCATGCAATTTTGGACGCGATTTTCACTATGGGTCATCCGGAAACAGTCTCTCTGTGCTTTAGTACAGGGGTAAGATTTAGTACAGGTGGGAGCCTTTGCGGCACTGGGGTAAATGAAAATGAAATGAGTGATCTGTGAAACACACACAAACAGATACTTAATTGTTATGAATGTTCTCAATTTGGAAAAACCTTCTAACATGCTCCATGGACATGATTTTGTAACTGTTCTATTTTTTACAAGAGTGGAGTGGCAATGCATCATTGCCTCACTGTCCTTGGAATTGTTAAAATGAGGGTTTATTAGTTTATGGTATTATGAAAAGGGTTCTGATTTGAGAGTTTGTTACCTTCTCTCTTATCATTAGTTTGAATTTTTGAAAAAATTATCATGCACTGAGCAGGTTCCAATTAACACGTTGGCCGTTCTAAATTATTTCACTCTGCCTATTCTAAAAATTTTATTGTCTTCTTTTATGATCAATCATTTGCAGGGTGCGGTTGAGAGCATTTGCATAGGTGAAATCAGGTTAAGCCTTCGGCAGTCATTAGTTAAACTTGGGGCTGGTTTTTTGTCCAGGGATCCAAAATTACAGGTGCTAATTAGTGATTTAGAAATTGTTCTGAGGACTTCAAGAAAAAGCACTCAGTCCTCTCAGAATACAAGGCCCCGATCCTCTCATAGAGCTCGCAAGTCAGGAAGAGGAAAGTGGATGGTTGTGGCTAATATGGCTAGATTTTTGTCAGTTTCTGTTACGGAGTTAGCTGTCAGAGTAAGCATGGCTGGGTACAGCTGTTTTTCTTCCTTCAGATTTAGTTGAGTGTATGCATTCTTGACAAATCTCATGCACTACCTGTAAGGTTATAAATTATCAATATGTATGGTCAGAAAGCGTGGATCTTTTGTGAGAGACTTGCTGATGATAATATATATATATATATATATATATATATATATATATATATATATATATATATATATATATATATATATATAATAAGAATGTTAAGTTTCCTATTTAACTTCTAGGTGTTTGGTTTATGTGGAATACCATTCAGTATTCAGCAATAAAAATGTTCATTTTCTATTTTTCTCAACTCCTTTTACTGCAAATATAGTGCTGCATCTTAGATGATTATTGATTTATTGGCGAGTCCACATGATGACCAAGATCCAAAGTAATGCTTATTGAGCTAATGACACACTCTTTTTCAATTCTATTTAATTGAGAGATTCTACCGCTGCGAGGTGTAAGTGGTAGTGTGGGTGAATGAGGGAGGCTTTCTTTAGAAATCCATATATTCTGTGTGTAGTTGTGAGTCTTGGGGATTTGGTATAGCTAGCTAGCAAAGTAAGGCAATATTTCTTTTATGCTTACATAGCTGTTGCCTGTTGGTACAAATGCCTGAGATTGGATGCATGTCTATCATGCTGGATCAAATCCCTTGATGTTTTTGAGTGCTGAACATTTTTAAAACAGGAAAGTGATGTCATGTGCCAGATGAAGTTTAGTTCATGTTGTATGCTGTGTTGTTTCTGGGCATGAGTGGCTTGTCAAAGTGGCTAGGCACTTATATTACATTTTAGGTTACTACAAATACTGAGGTGCTTAAAGAATTACTCGTCTTAAGGAGTGCCATATGATTTACATTTTGTGCATACGCTTTGTTAAATTTGTAGACACCAAAAGCTGCTGTGGAGGTCAAAGAATTGACCTTAGATATATCTAAAGATGGTGGATCTAAGCCAGCATTGTTTGTGAAGTTAAATCTTGTTCCTGTACTTGTGCACTTGGGGGATACACGGGCCAGCGGTGATCAATCATCAGTTTTTGGTGAACCTTCTCCAATCCGTAATGCATTACTATCTGTGACAGAGAGGACGACTGCCCCTTTCATATGCGAAGAATTTTCTGCTCTCTGTGAGTTTGGGCATGAAAGGTAAGTAGAATTATATTTCTTATTGATCCTATTGGTGTCTGGCTTGGGGTAAGGATGAATGAAAATGAAATATGTGCACTTAGTAATTAAGTGTACTACATAATACACAGCTTTTAACTTTTATTTTGTTTTATTTTGCTTGGTTTATCTTCAAGTTTTGGAAGCAAAAAGATTGGGTTCACATCGTAGAAGTAGGCCACACGATTCGATATTTTGTACCAAGTAAAAGACTAGGAGATGTTCTGTGAGAAGTGACACTATAAAGTGAGTGACTGAATGCAATCCGTGCTGAGAAGCTATGAAATTCAACTTTAATTGAAACATGTGGAAACAAACAATTATCAGAATGAATATCTCATCTCTAGCGTGGGTTTTGATTGTACATATTTTGTAACTTAAAAGACTAGGTGCAACTTTGCAACCTTATTATCTTGAATTGGAACTAGTTCTCACTTCTCATTATGAATGATATTGTTTTTTCTGCTGTGTTTTACTTCGGTGTAGGGAATTGGGAGTAATAGTCAAAGATGTGGATCTCAGATGCGGAGAAGTTTTTGTAAACCTAAATGAGGAGCTATTACTTAAAAGGAGAAGCTCAGCAGAAGCTGTTTTCCAAGGACACGATTTTTTGAAGACAAACTCGGAGTCTGGGGAGGCTCTAAAACCACAGAAAGAGCCAGCAGTACTGGCTATATATAAATATGCCTCGTTGTTTCCTGAAAAGGTCAGTTGTGTTTGAACTGTTGACATGCTTTCCCAGTGTTATTACTGGTGGATGACCAAAATCTCTCCATAGGCAACAAGCCATGGCTACCATCTAACTTTACTGGCTTCCCAATATAAATGTTTCTGCTTTGCTAGTTTTCTACAATATAATTGCTTTTGGAATTATCTGTGTTTGGATGATGCATATTTAAAGCTCCAATTGGATTTTACTACTACGTTTTTGCATTGTTTCTTTATGAAACAAGTAAGCAACTGAGTAAGAGGATAAGTAGCAAATGGTGTCTGGCACTCCTATGATGATTGAGTGGCATCAAGGAATCAAGCTCGTCTGCAATCAAATTGGTCTAGGGCACCTTGGCTGATGTTTGTTAGAATAGTGAGTTATTGAAATATAACATGCTTGTTAAGGAACATGATAGTAAAAAAGGTTGTGCACTACGCAGATGCGTTCAAACATAATCACCTCTTTTGCTCTAACATGAGATCTCAAATTGAGTCTGTATTTTGGCCTGAAAAGCCCAACTGATTTAACATATAACAAAACCCCCAAAGTAGACCTAACACAACATGAACCCGCACGCCGGTATGAACTAATCAAAGTAGCGCACCACCTTAGGATTGATGAGGTCGCTTCCTAAAGTTACATGACTCACCATCTAAAGGCTCAAGATAGGGTAGGCGTGAGACTATTAGCTTAAGCTTGGTTAAGCTAGAACTATACATTCAATACATGCAATACTAAGACTGACATTACCTGGTTTTTGCACTTCTCAGAAAGTCAGAAAACATCATTTTTGCATATATTATGTATTTCAGGAAGCCTAAAGTTACTTTTTATGAAATCTAACATTAAAGAAATTTTCTATTTAGCATCTGCTTGTCTATGCTGTTTCTGTGCTTCTTTGAGACACTTTCATTGATATACTCACTATATTTATTTGATAGCTTAGCTTCGCTCTGCCAAAGATAGACATGAAATTTGTTCATCATGGAGAAGGTCTTCTAGCGGATAGTAACATCATGGGGATTCAACTCAAGGGCTCAAAATCTCGATCAATTGAAGATGTGGGAGAAAGTACACGGCTAGATGTGCAGATGGAATTTAGTGAAATCCATGTACGCCTGCATGTTTTCAATTCAAATGTATTCTTCATATACATTTGCTTTTACTTGTGCCATCTGTTGATTTTCCTTAACGTAACTTTTTTTTTCCAGCTACTCACGGAGGCTGGTATTTCTGTAATGGAGATATTGAAGCTGGATGTTGTCTCATCAGTTTATATTCCTAATCAGGTATGTAGTACATAAGTTACTATATCTTGTAGCATCATATTTCACTGTAGATTAATCTCTCGAGCTTCTTGCCAAGTAGGGTGATATAAACAAGAAAGAAACCAGTATTTGAAATGCTTTAGATAATGTTTCGCAGCTATGTACTTTTATAGACAATGTTCAATTGTTAGGGAGCTATTATTAAATGATAATGATTCATCCAATAAATCTTCTATCCAAGTTCAAATTCCAAAAAAAATGACCTGCAAAAGGATGTAAACTGTGAATGTGCATTCTTTTCCCACCAGAACCTATTTAATGCCGTGAACTTTCTTATTTCCATCTGCGATAATAAGCTGAGCTTATATTTTAGCTGATAGAAGGTGGATATAAACCTGTGACCTTTTATTTGTGTTCCGTTCAAAGAGATAGCTGAATTGTTTTTTTTTTGTTCAAATAGCTGAACCGTTGTTGCTTGCATAATCGTGTAGCTGAATTGTTGTTGTCTGCATAGTCTTGTGACTCAAGTTTCTGTGCAAGTCCATTAACACTTGTGCATTAGACCACCTTGAATATAATGCATTGCTGGGTTTGTAAGTATATATATATATATATTTATATCTGTTGTTTTCCATATTAAATTGTTCAAGTGCTTTTGTTTACACTTTACAGCTTACTTCACCTATTGGGGTAGAAGTTGATGTCAAGCTTGGAGGTGCTCAAAGCAATCTAATTTTAGCTAGATTAACTCCGTGGATGGACTTTCATGCCTTGAGGAAAAAGAAAGTGTTGGTTGAAAATGGCGGCTCTACTTCGGAATGCCCAAAGTCTTCTGAACATAAAGCCTTGATTATGTGGACATGCACAGTCTCTGCCCCAGAGATGTCAATTGTCCTTTATGATATGAGTGGCTCACCCTTGTATCATGTAAGAGTTATCTTTAATAGGAAGCACTCTTGTTGGAGTAATTTTTAGTTCAATATTATTTTTCCCATATCTGAGAGAGAAATAGAACCTGTTTTATCAAGATCACACTAGACTGTCTACGGGGGAGCTTCTTTCTGTAAAAGTAGATGCCTCCAATGTAACAACTTCTTACGGTTTTAATTATGACAGCATATTCATTTGCAAATTGCAGGGCTGCTCACAATCATCTCACGTCTTTGCCAACAACATGTCAAGTATGGGCACAACAGTACATATGGAACATGGTGAGTTCAATCTGCACATGTTTGATGAATATCAAGAATGCTTAAAGGAGAGCCTATTTGAGGTGGAAGCATATACAGAATCATTAATGCATGTAGCAAAAATTAGTGTTGATTGGGGAAAAAAGAACACACCTGAAGATGGTGCCAACTTCAAATTGGCTCTCTCTGTTGATGTAACTGGCATGGGAATATTTATGAACTTCAGGCGCCTTGAATCTCTGATATCAACAGCCTCATCCTTCAAATCAGCAATAAGAAGTTTCTCTGCCTCTGGTAAGAAACCAGCACATAGACGGAGTAAACCACCCAAGCCATCAGGAAAGGGGATTCAACTCATACGATTTAATCTTGAAAGATGTTCTTTAAATTTTAGTGGAGTTGTAGGCTTAGAAAGTGCAGTTGTTTCAGACCCCAAACGTGTTAATTATGGGTCCCAAGGTGGAGTTGTCTCGATCAGTGTCTCTGCAGATGGTACTCCCCGAACTGCAAGTATATATTCAATAGCCTCAGATGAATCAAGAAAGCTAAAGTATTCAGTTTCTCTTGATGTCTCCCACCTCAACCTTTGCACAAGCAAGGAGAAACAATCAACACAAGTGGAGCTTGAAAGAGCTAGATCTGTTTATCATGAATTGTTGGAAGAGAATAGTTCTAGAACTGAGGTGACTTTGCTTGATATGCAAAACGCAAAATTTGTGAGGCGATCTGGTGGCCTTAAAGACATCGCTACCTGCTCTCTCTTCAGTGCTACTGACATAACAGTCAAGTGGGATCCTGATGTGCATATAGCATTATTCGAACTTGGTTTGCAGTTCAAGTCAATGGTTCAACAGCTTAAGCTTAACGAGTCTATGAAAGAAGCCATGAGTGATAATGGGCCGAAGAAAGAGACAGCTGCAGAATCAGTAGAGTTTGAGAAACGGAACAAGAAAAGAGAATCAATTTTTGCTATTGATGTTGAAATGCTTAATATATCTGCTGAAGTTGGGGATGGTGTTGAAGCCACTATTCAGGTTAAGTCCATTTTTTCAGAAAATGCACGAATAGGTGTTCTTCTTGAAGGACTCACACTCCATTTCAACCGTGCAAGAGTATTTAGAAGCAGCAGGATGCAAATTTCTCGGATTCCTAATGTTTCTAACACTCCATCAAATGTGAAAATTGAGAGGGGTACAACATGGGACTGGGTAATTCAAGCCCTTGATGTCCACATTTGCATGCCTTACAGGTTACAGTTGCGTGCCATTGATGATTCTGTCGAGGACATGATTAGGGCTCTGAAGCTCATTACATCTGCAAAAACTAAACTTATGTTTCCCAATAAGGAAGGTAATCTGAAATCAAAAAAATCAAATTCATCAAAGGTTGGGCATGTAAGATTTTGCATACGTGAGGTAACTGCTTATATTGAAGAAGAGCCAATTCAGGGTTGGTTTGATGAGCATTATCAGTTATTGAAGAATGAGGCTAGTGAATTAGCTGTGCGATTGAACTTTCTTGATGAACTTGTCTCCAGAAGCAGTCAATCTCCTGGTGCTACTGAGAAGAATGCTTCTACTGATGAAGGCAAGTTCCGGTTTAATGGAGAAGAGATTGATGTGCACAACATTTCTGCAGTTCAAAAGTTGAGGGAGGAAATTTATAAGAAATCATTCTGGTCATACTACCAGGCATGTAAAAACCTTGTGCCATCACAAGGATCAGGCGCTTACGATGGGGGCTTCCAATCTGGTTTTAAGCCAAGTACTTCCAGGACTTCTCTGTTTTCGCTTTGTGCTACAGAGTTAGATATAAGCTTGACAAAAATTGAAGGGGGTGAGACTGGCATGATTGAACTTCTGAAAAAGCTTGATCCTATATGTCGTGCACAAAACATCCCGTTCTCTAGACTATATGGCAGTACAATCAACTTACGCACAGGCTCCCTTACTGTGCGTATAAGAAACTATACTTGTCCATTATTTGCTGCAACTTCTGGTAGATGTGAAGGCCGTCTTGTGCTCGCTCAGCAGGTTTTTTCTGAAACTCCCTTAAACCCTTATTCCATTTCTTACTTATATGGTAGCAGTGGAATTACTTTCTTCTGGTGTGGGATTCTCTTCTTTTATCACAGTCATTTGCTGGTACTCTCTTTCTCATAAGGACAGTCTTTCACACATTGTGATTTTTAGATATTTTTTCCCATGTATTTTCTCCTCATTGAATGCTGACTGATTTTGTTATCTTTAATACTACATCCGTCCCTTAACAAGGTTCACACCCTAACTTGGCCCATCTATTAATGAAAAAACTGACTGCAAATAAAAGTAAACCATGGGTCACGTGAGAGATTAGAAGTTAGAACTGGCTAGGGAACCTTGAGGTGTTGACCATGGTCACAAGGTGAAATTGTTTCCCCCCAGTTGATGATCCTCTAGCCTTATGGGGCTTAGCTCAATGGATAGCTTACCAACATTTAGTCTCCCATGAAGCAGCAATGTGAGTCTTAAGGCTTGCTTAGAACCTTGAGGTGTTGACCAATAAGGATGTTTTCTTTTGGACTTTTTTCCAATCCCAGACCAGACTTGAACAAACTAGAGCAGACTTGGACAGTTATAAAATACACAGAGACCATACATTGCCAGACCAGTTCAAACCAGACCAGACTTAAACAGACCATACCAGACCAGATCAGCAAATTTTAGTCCATAAGAAAACATCCCCTGAGTGGGCATTATCCTGAGAGCAGTGCTGGGAACCCGGGGCACTTAATGGGTTACAAATGGCTCCGTGTAATCGCTAACTTGGAGGATAGATGACGACTTGCGGTTGACTCGCTCAAGGGTTAGGAGTGCTACTAGAAAGTGCAAGAATAATCTGGCGTAGCTGAAAACATTTGGTGTTACCAAAGAAACATGGGTCTCATGCCAAGGTAGGATCATTTCACATTTTTTCCCAAAAATAGGACTCATTCAGTCTTAAAAAAGAGCAAAAACAATTAATAATTCTTCTTTTAGGAGTGAATGAGTACCATTTTTAGGAAAAAATATTGATGGTCTAATATACAGTAAAGTGTCATTTTTAGCCTTATATATGTACTTCTCCTTGAATCACTTTATATGTTTAAGAGGTTTCCCTTGCGGTTGAGAGTAAAGTTTAATGAGGGACCCTTCCCCAAACCCTCGTCTTGCAGGGACGCCAATGTGCACCGGGCTGCACTTTTTTTAGTAGAGCAACAACTTTTTCTTACCACATAATTAAAGCTAGGGACAGACCAAGGGAAATTATGGTTGTAATTTAGGGATGAAGGGAATACCAGCATGAAATTTATGTTATTATCAGTACAACTCATGTATCTTATGTGTTATCTGGACTTTGTGACATTCCCCAACAGATTATCTGAATCAAAATGCCACTGGGTTCCTGAAATCATCTTCGCTAGAGCTGATATGTTTGTACTTTCTAAAACTTGCATACGTTTGAAATGAAACAATATTCTTCTGGCAGTCAGTTGATTTTACTCTAAGCATTCTATAATGTGAATCTATTTGATTACTTTTCCTTCATGAAGATTACTTGACTGTTTTGTTTTGCTGAATCCTGAATTGGGCCATGCACTTGTTGACATGCTACAACCCTTTTGTTCTTTCCTTAAATTAAATGGCAGGCAACATGTTTTCAGCCCCAAGTTTTCAAAAATGTTTTCGTTGGGAGATGGAGGAAGGTGAGTCTGCTTCGTTCAGAAAGTGGCACAACTCCCCCTATGAAAACATATTGTGATTTGCCTCTTCATTTTCAAAAGGCAGAAATTTCTTATGGGGTTGGTTTTGAACCATCATTTACAGATATCAGTTATGCATTTACTATGGCCCTTCGTAGGGCCAATTTAAGTACTAGGGATTCGAACCCTGATCACCCTCCACCGAAAAAGGAAAGGAGCTTGCCATGGTGGGATGAAATGAGAAACTATATTCATGGGAACACCACTCTCTACTTTGCTGAAGCCAAATGGAATGTTCTTGCGACAACTGATCCCTATGAAAAGACTGAAAAGCTCCAGATCATATCAGGTAATATGGAATTGCAGCAGTCTGATGGTCGTGTTTATGTATCCGCAAAGGATTTCAAGATTATAATAAGCAGTTTGGAAAGCATACTAAGAAACTCATCTGTAAAACATCCAACTGGTCTTTCTTATACACTCATAGAGGCTCCTGTTTTTAGTGTTGAAGTTACCATGGAATGGGAGTGTGATTCTGGATGTTCACAAAACCATTATTTGTTTGCGTTTCCTAAAGACGGTGTTCCTCATGAAAAGGTTAATGATCCCTTTAGATCCACTGCTTTGTCCCTACGTTGGAATCTGTTGCTTAGGCCTGTTCTTCCCTGTAGTTATGGCCAGTCAGGGTTATCATCGTGTGATCAGCATATCCTTGATGGAGCTGCCTGTGGCTTAAATATGCCTTCAATTGATATCCCGACACTCAATCTTGGACCTCATGATTTAGCATGGTTAATCAAATTTTGGAACTTAAACTATGCTCCTCCTCAGAAAATTCGTTCATTTTCTAGGTGGCCCCGTTTTGGAGCCCCAAGAGCCCCCAGGTCAGGTAATCTTTCCCTAGACAAAGTAATGACAGAATTCATGTTTAGGGTTGATGCAACTCCAGCATGTATCAGGCACATGCCTCTAGAAAATGATGATCCAGCTAAGGGACTGACTTTTAAGATGACAAAGCTAAAGTATGAACTTTATTTTGGCCGGGGAAAGCAAAAATTTACATTTGAAAGCAAACGCGGGCCCCTTGATCTTGTCTATCAAGGTCTTGATCTACATATGCCTAAAGCATTTATTAATAGTAAAGATTGGACTAGTGTCTCCCAAGTAGTTCAAATGACTAAGAAAACCTCACAATCTGGAGCAATGGAAAAGGCTAGGAATGTGAAAAGTGGTAGTATGTTAAGTGGTAGCACAGAACGACATCATGATGATGGTTTTCTTTTATCATCTGATTACTTTACAATCAGGAGGCAATCTCCTAAAGCTGATCCTGAAAGGCTATTGACGTGGCAGGAGTCTGACAGAAGAAATCTTGAGGTGACATATGTGAGATCTGAGTTTGAAAATGAGAGTGAAAGTGATGACCATGCGAGATCTGAGCTAAGTGATGATGACGGATATAATGTGGTTATTGCAGATAATTGTCAACGCGTATTTGTTTATGGTCTTAAACTTTTGTGGACTATTGAGAACAGAGATGCTGTCTGGTCTTGGGTTGGTGGATTATCTAAAGCTTTTCAACCTCCAAAGCCATCTCCTTCTAGGCAATATGCTCACAGAAAGTTGCTTGAGGAGAAAAAGGTAGCAGACAAATCTGAGACGTCTCAAGATTGTAATTGGAAGCCTCCTAGCCATGCTGTGAACCCCTCATCTCCACATCATTCAGGGACATTAGTATCACAGTTGCAGTCATCTCCCTCAAATTCAGTTAAAGTGGGAACCTCTTTTTTTGATGAAACTGGTAAAGTTGAATACTTTCATGCAAACTGTCTGTGATTTGTTTTTAATGTAGTATTGCACCTTCAAAACATGCACACGCACACACACATGTCATGTGGTACAAAGGCCCAGTTGCACTGAGCAGTGTGTTAATTCTTAGTCTATGAATTAGTTCTTTTTGCACAAGGACATGTGCCTTTAGTATCACTTTCAGACAGTTTTTAACATCATTCATTGGCATTCTGATTCTAATGTGAATGTAATTTTATGCATCCCCCCAGCAAAACCTGGTAGCACTGAAGACTCTGAAGGGGAAGGGACCCGCCATTTCATGGTGAATGTCATTGAACCACAATTCAACCTTCATTCAGAAGATGCAAATGTAAGTTAGTTGCTAGCTGTGAGTCTTTGACATACACACTGCCTGGAAAACATACCATTGATCAGAATGAAGCACTTTAGTTGCATCCATACAACAGCTTCCTTTAAATCAATCTCGGATGTTAGTTTGTATTCAGTGCTGTTTTTGTTATACTCTTAGTTGTTTTGTCGGCATGGTCACCCACACCCACCTTTAACCAATAGTAAATCTCTGCTGCAAGAGGGGAAGTTTAAGTTGTACAATAATTTGTTACACTGAATGTGCAATCATTTGGCTTGGATCTATTGGTGCCTTATTTCATGCTAATTCTGTATGACCTTCCCATTCCTCTTGCAGGGTAGATTTTTACTTGCAGCTGTTAGTGGCCGTGTTTTAGCCCGTTCGTTCCATTCAATACTTCATATTGGCCATGAGATAATTGAACAGGCGCTTGGCAGAGGGAATGTGCAAATACCTGAATCTCAACCAGAATTGACCTGGAACCGTATGGAGTTCTCCATGATGTTAGAGCATGTACAAGCTCATGTCGCTCCAACGGATGTAGATCCAGGGGCTGGACTTCAGTGGCTTCCTAAAATCCGTAAAAGCTCACCAAAAGTGAAAAGAACTGGAGCATTACTTGAAAGAGTGTTTATGCCTTGTGACATGTACTTCCGCTATACAAGGTATAAAGGAGGTACTCATGACTTGAAGGTATACTCTATACCTTATTGTGATTATTACACTCCTTAGTCATGGCTTTATGTTTCATTAAGCAAGTTTTGCCTGACACTTCCTTCCAGTGTAGGATGATGTGGCATTTTATGTGTTGCAGGTTAAACCCTTAAAAGAGCTTGCTTTTAATTCTCGTGATATAACAGCAACAATGACATCTCGTCAGTTTCAAGTTATGCTTGATGTGCTAACCAATCTCCTCTTTGCCCGCCTTCCAAAGTAAGTATATTGTTTACATTAACTGTTGTATCTCCACAGGGGTTATACTATTATTTTCCCAAAGTGCATTATTCTTTATCTTGCTCAAATGCTCAACCAAGAAAGTTTACTGAAGCAAACACGTCTCCCCGCGGATACACTCTTATGGGTGTCAAATACCAAGTATAAGCCTGCAGTATCAAAACTGTAAATACTGCCAATATGTGTGATATGAAGCAGAATCTGGGCTTGGAAGAAGAGGGGAAGAAGCCCCCATGGGTTTACCGAAGGCGGGACGGGCTTGAGCCTACCTCCGTGGGCTGGTTACAGGCTGTTTAATTAATAATTATTCTTTTTAATTTTCCTAATTTGTTTCCTATTAGGAGTTAATTATGATTTCTAATATTTGTTTCCTATTAGGAGTTAGTTAGGATTTCTATTATTTCTTTCCTATTTGAAGTTGATTAGGATCTTTATTATTCTGTTTCCTAGTTGGAGTTGATTAGGATCTCTAGGATTTTGTTTCCTACTTTAAGAGTTAGTAGATGGGTATTTAAACCCCTTGTTAGGCTTCATTCTTAATCAATCTGGGAATAAAAGTTGGTTTAGCCTTTTGGCTCTGGGCAACGGTATTTATTTATCGTTGATTATCTGGGCAACGGTATTTATTTATCGTTGATTATCTGGGCAACGGTTCACCCCGTTGATTGTTATTTTTCTGTTTTTTATCAATTGGTCCGACCTGCCGGATCCCGTCCCGCCAGAATGACGAGATCTATCAGTGAACATTTGTCAGAGATGAAGCAAACCCTGGAAGCAAACAGCAGGCGGCTGGATGAGATCGTTGCATCCCTTGCGGCGCTGACCAAGGCCCTTGTGCCATCGATCACGACGGAGACACCATCAGACACAGTCATCGGTGCCACCATCGTAGCGGCAACACACGACGACGGACCTCCGCGCAGCACTCCTCCAACCTTGCTGCCCATGTTCGACAGAAAAGAACCAATTAGGGGGATAGTTAGGGCTGAGCAAAAGTTCGAAATTAATCAAACCCTACCTGAGAGGAAAGTGACAACAGTTACGGTAGCCATGGAAGGAGCTGCCTTGGACGGGTTGACCTGGTTGAAGGCACAAAAACCGAGCATGACCTGGGAGAAATTTACACAGGTGGCCCGATTTAATTCACGGTTCAAAGAAAACCGATTCAAACGACTGTTCGGGGTCAAACAGTTGGGAACCGTAGAGGAATATAATAATCTTTTTGTTCAATTGGCCAGTCAGGTTCCCGGACTTTCCGATGATTATTACTTGGGGTATTTCATGAACAAGCTAAAAAAATCAAGTGACAACTTTCCTCAAGATACGGGGCAGCCCCCGGGGACAAATATGAGCCGGTTTCCGGATTTCAACCTTGAGGACAAGGTTTTTTCGAAGAGGGATGGAATTGATATGAAGCAGAATCTGGGCTTGGAAGAAGAGGGGAAGAAGCCCCCATGGGTTTACCGAAGGCGGGACGGGCTTGAGCCTACCTCCGTGGGCTGGTTACAGGCTGTTTAATTAATAATTATTCTTTTTAATTTTCCTGATTTGTTTCCTATTAGGAGTTAATTATGATTTCTAATATTTGTTTCCTATTAGGAGTTAGTTAGGATTTCTATTATTTCTTTCCTATTTGAAGTTGATTAGGATCTTTATTATTCTGTTTCCTAGTTGGAGTTGATTAGGATCTCTAGGATTTTGTTTCCTACTTTAAGAGTTAGTAGATGGGTATTTAAACCCCTTGTTAGGCTTCATTCTTAATCAATCTGGGAATAAAAGTTGGTTTAGCCTTTTGGCTCTGGGCAACGGTATTTATTTATCGTTGATTATCTGGGCAACGGTATTTATTTATCGTTGATTATCTGGGCAACGGTTCACCCCGTTGATTGTTATTTTTCTGTTTTTATCAATGTGCCAATTCTTTTCCCAATTGGGTGAATTTTAACCCCCCCAAACAAAATCAAGTTTTATAGTTGTTATACTGGGCCTTCATGTTTTATATTGCTACAATTGAAATATGATCATGTTGAAAATTCAGGCCTAGAAAAGTTAGTCTATCATATCCAACTGATGAGGATGATGATGTGGAAGAGGAGGCAGATGAAGTTGTTCCTGATGGTGTTGAAGAGGTAGAACTAGCAAGGATCAATCTCGAAGAGAAAGAACGTTTCCAAAAGCTAGTCCTAGATGACATCAGGAAGTTGTCTCCTTGTAATGATGTTTCTGGGGAACTGTTCTCAGAAAAGGAACGCGATCTGTGGATGGTAACGGGTGGAAGGTTCATATTGGTAAAGATAAGGACATTTGAACTTTTGAAGTTTTTATGTAAATTTGTGTTATTATGAGATAACGTCAATTTCCAATTGTGCTAATTATTAACTGCCTAGATTTTCTTTGTTCTGGGGTTTTGTCATTACATCTCCCAGGTGACATGGTAGGTTGCACTTCTTTGGCTGAGTACATGCTTTAGTTTAAGAAATGCCCATCATGCATTGTGCTAGATGAACCGGTTTTGTCAATACATATCATTGTTAAAATCTTGCCTGTCAGATTGCAGTACTGTAATGCTTTTAATATCACGCCTTGCACTGTCGAAGCCTAGATTAGATGTATATAGGCTTTTAATACGTTTCTTTTGGAGGAAGAGTTCATGGATAATTAATTAAATAGTTAGTAGTAATTTCTTTCACTTCACCTTTCCAAGTTTCATTTTTGTGAAAAGTGTCCACTCAAGTGGTTTTTTGGAGAAAGATATTTATAGAACTTCTAGGATGATATCTTAATTTCCATGCTCTTTCACTCTTTCATTTGTATAACTTTTTGTGCAAACCTAATATATCTTGGTATAAAAAATTATGTAGCTTATTTGTTTCACTTTTGCAGGTGAAAAAACTAAAGAAGGAGCTGATTAGTGCACAAAAATCTAGAAAAGCTGCATCTGCTTCTCTAAGGATGGCTCTGCAGAAGGCTGCACAACAACGGTTGATGGAAAAAGAAAAGAACAAAAGTCCTTCATGTGCAATGCACATTTCTTTGCAGATAAATAAAGTTGTATGGAGCATGCTTGTAGATGGTAAATCGTTTGCAGAAGCAGAAATAAATGACATGGTGAGTTTTTTAGTGTCTCGAGTCTATTTAGCTTCTTTAACTTAACTACGATTTTCAGAAACTGCTCATTTAAATCAGATCCAATTCCAAAGAAGAAAATTTTGTATTACCCTGTGTTTATGGTCTGCATTTAAATACTTCCCCTCCCAAAATTCTCTTACAAGTCTGACTTGGATGCTAATTAATAAATTGAATTTGTATGGTTGTGGTTGATATTAAAGTGAGAGAAACAGTATCAACAAAACAAATTCTGCCTTAATGAAATGTGAAGGAAATTTTGGGGAACCCCTATGAGGAAGCAAATTATGGGACAAAGAATATTTAATTATAGAACATTGCACATCTGTTTGTAGAGGGGCCCTTATTACTAAATTAATATCTGGTCTCATTGATTCGCTTCTTTTTGAGTGACTAATTTTTTCATTAAGTTTTTTCAAACACCCCCTCGGCGTCTTTTGTTGCACACGAGCCCTAACATAATCAACGGCCCTGAGTCTCTGATGATGACCTATATAGTTATACATAGAAACTTGGCCAAAGTTATTAAAATCTGTAGTATACTTTTTTATTCTGATGAAGTGATCGAGGACTAAGAGATCAGGACTGAGTGAGAGTCCTACTTTTATTGTTACCTTGATAGTGTGATTAGCGTCATGCTTCATTTACCACGCCTCTAATTTGGTAAATCATTTTGTCGGTTTATTTTAATCTAATGTATGCTTTTGTTCACAACTTGCTTTGATTTGTACCCCGCATATTTAGAATCAGTAATGTTATTTGAAGTTGAAGAGTGAACTCCAAGTACTTAATACTTATGTTTCATAACTAATTTTGACCGGGCTGCTGTCTAGCAGTGTTACGATCCCACACCGGTCAAGTATGGGCTTGACCGGTGGCTTATAAGCAAGGTGTTCCCTCCTCCTAATTGGCTGGTCTTTTAGGAGTGAGTTCTACATCTGGGCTTGTGGCACTGGTATGGACCTAGTATGGGCTAGGTTCGTAATAATTGGTATCAGAGCCGTCCCCATCTTCCTAGTCCCGACACTCGGAGTGGTGGCCTATGGAGTGGTGGCTTGGGCCCTGGGGGTGCCAACCGTGACCAACATAGCCGTGACCAACGAGGACGATGGCTCTTCGAAGCGTGGGGTATTGTTACGATCCCACACCGGTCAAGTTTGGGTTTGACCGGTGGCTTATAAGCAAGGTGTTCCCTCCTCCTAATCGGCTTGTCTTTTAGGAGTGAGTTCTACACCTGGGCTTGTGGCACTGGTATGGACCTAGTATGGACTAGGTTGGTAACAAGTAGTCTATGCATTATGGCTTACACTTGGTTTGGTTTCACTTGTATGTTGATTGTTGATCTAATATTGTTGTTGTATGATGTGATGTTATCACAATGTTGTTGGGGAAATAGTTTGGTAACGACATTCCAATACTCTGTTCATCCCATCTTATATGTCCCACTTCCTTTTTTGGTTTGTCCCACAATTATGCCAACTTTCATTTTTTGAACTCAACTAACTTTATCTCTTCCCATATTTACCCTTTTATGATTTGACTTGTTGACATTTTCGTAGACTTTTAAATAAAAGTTACCCACCTTTATAAGGGTAAAAGTGGAAAGTTAATCTCATAGCATTTGTTTCCTTAATGTCCATGCAAAAAAACAGTTGAGACCTATAACATGGGATGGATGGAGAAATACTTAAGATCACATGAGCTTATCTATAGGGGGCAATTTGTTGAATTTTAAATAGTAGTAATGGTTGTATGAGCCATAAATCACTTTGGCATGTTGAAGCAAACAGAAACTTGACCTTGATGCCTATGTATATAATGAATTCTTGAATAAACTAATTGAAACAAGCATATCATAACATTGCCCGAGGAATCTCTATTCTCTGCTTCTTAACTCTCTACTAATGATTTATCTGTGCGTAACCTTTTTCTCATTCATATGGGAATTGCCTGGCTTAGAGTGGTACTTTTTCTTCATGCAGATATATGATTTTGACAGAGATTACAAAGATGTTGGTGTTGCTCGGTTCACAACAAAATACTTTGTTGTTAGAAACTGTCTGCCTAATGCCAAGTCTGATATGCTTCTTTCAGCCTGGAATCCTCCTCCTGAATGGGCAAAGTATGGTGCATGTTTAATTCAAATTATGTCTAACTACACAGAAATACGAGAAGCTTTAAAAGAGTTTCAACCCTTGAAAGATTAAGATATACAATGGTATCTCTAAAAAAAGCTATAGTTATCTTAACATACACTTTGGGATCAGCTAATATGAATCTACATATGATAATGGAGTTACAAAACAATAAATAGAGAAAAAGGAAGATACAAAATCAGATCAATCCTCCACACGCAAGGTTGTTAAACTCGAGATGGAGTTCTATCAATCCTGGAACTGAAAGATAGGTTTACTAGCAAAATCAGTTTGATTCTCCAAAATCTTCACACTTCTCCATAGTATTTGCTCAAGCTCTTATTCCCAAAGTTTCACGCTGTGACTCATAAGCTTAATCCCTCAATAGCTGTCACATTCTTGTACATCGCTCTTATTCTTAAAATATGGGATAAAATTACTCTTACACCAATTTACTGGTATTTTGTTGTTTTTTAAAATCTTGTTCAAGAAAAGTGTTAACCGCTTGACACCTTTCTCAAACTTCTCCACACCTCGATCAATATGCCATCTAGACCCAGTGCTTTGTTTCGCCCTATCTTTCTCAGAGTTACTTTATCTTTTGTCTTTTTAAAAAAATCCAATTTATCATACAATTTGGTATAGTAAAACCATCAATACCTTAGTAACAAATATGGAAATCAATTGTATTTATAAAATGGAAAATGTTCAAGTAGGCTCTTTTAGTATTTCAAAATTCAAATCCATCAGCTAAGCCCTTCTACCAAAAGAAGTACTACGTATCATAGCACACTTACTTTGAAAATACATTCAGTCTGGCCATTTTACTAGTTTGTTATCTTGTCTAGCAAGTCATTTTATGTAAAGAAATAAGAAAATTGACAATTTTTGGAAAAGTTATATAATTCCTATAAGTATAGAAACAACAATACAAAAAATATAAAATGTCAAAATAGATCAATAATTTTACAACGTTAAAATAAAAATCAATAATTAAAAATCAAAGTATTAAATTAAAATGTAAACAATGTATGATCACAATGTAAAAATATTTTAAAATGTAGAATTCAAAATAAATCCAAAATAAAATATATAATTTTTGATTTTTTTTTTTACAATTTTTGCTTCTTTTTTTCTTCTTCAAATTTTATCAAGGAAAATGCTAGGGGTACACAAGTTGTACACAACTTGTACACACAATGTCGGTCACAGACAATTGGTACGGAATTGTTTGTGACCACAGACAAGAGTTGTCTGTGTACACAGATAAATTTTGTCTGTTTCCAAAGACATTTACTTTTTGTAAAAAGTACACTGAGAGCCGCCTGACACTGACAAGTACTTTTTACAAAAAAGTAAATGTCTGTGGAAACAGACAAAATTTGTCTGTGTACACAGACAATTCTTGTCTGTGGTCACAGGCAATTCCGTACCAATTGTCTGTGACCGACATTGTGTGTACAAGTTGTGTACAACTTGTGTACCTTTAGCATTTTCCTTTTATCAATATCACTAAGTGAACATGCTTATATGATACTCCCTCCGTCCCATAAAATAGTTCCCACTAGTATTTGGTTCGGAGTTTAAGAAAGTGGGAATAAAGTGGAAATATATGGTTGTGGTTGAGTAAGAAAAAGGTAAATGAATAGTAGCCACACAAAACTTTCCAAAAAGGGAAATGAGAACTATTTTTTGGGACGGCCCAAAAAGGAAAGTGAGAACTATGTTATGGGACGGAGGTAGTATGTTTTAGTATTGAGGCTTAATTGATGAATTTTGGAAGAGTAGAAGGATCTATTTCACCATTTTCTCTTAATAGAATGATAGATGTGGCATTGATATTCATCCTATGCAAGAATATACCATTTGGGACCAAAGCGATAAACTAGTCACGAGGTTTAGGGTTATGGTACTTATCATTCGATACTGTTGAACGAACTGCCTTGATATGTGCTTTACATTTTACTCATTCCATTCTGAATCTGACACTTTTTCATGTACTGAGATTTCAATGAAAATGGATAGCGTGCTCTATCCTATTCAAGTGTCCGTGAAACAGGGTGGACATAGACAAATCATTTTGAAAAGTTAAAGATAGTAACAGTGAATTTAGAATAGGAAATAAATGTGTATTTTTGTTATTAAGGTATACATCCGACCCCTCCTTACCCACCATAGGTGGGAGCCTTTGCGACTCTAGGGTAATGATGATGATGATGGTGTATATCCCACAATGGTTCCGCGTAAAATAATAAACTAATACTTTCTCCATTTTTATTTAGTTGCAACACTTTGAATTTCATGTTTGCTAATGCACGCTTTTAACCACTAATATGTTTAGTTAGCTATTAGTAACAATTACAAAAAATCACATTTTGTAATTGTACATCGACAAATATATAATTTCTTAAGTCACTTTATTAGTTCATTAATAAATAAAATGTAGTTAAAATAGAGTATGTGATCAATTTAAAAGTCAAAGTGTTTCAACTATTAACGAACACAGTAACTAAATAAGATCAAAGACTATTTTCCTATTAGGTTGACTTTGAGGATAAACCCTTCTTTTTAATATAATACTATAGCTAGTTCTTGTTGTGATTTGATTGTGATAAGAACAGAAAAATAAAATCAACGGGGTAAACCGTTGCCCAGAATAATCAACGGGAACGGGAAGAATCCGTTGCCCAAGCTTCTTTAGCTAATAAATCTGGTTTTTTATTCCTCCCCATTGAATAGCCAGTGTGGGTAATACTCCAAACATCCAAGCTCTAGTAGGAAACTAAATGACCTAATTAACTGTACCTAACTTATCCTAGTGGGAAACAGAATTGCGCACAAAAGCCTAGGAGAAGGGAATTACTTGCGCACAAAGGAATTCTAATACGTAGTATAATAAATAGCAATAATAAAAGTACTTAACATAATTGAAGCTAATTAAATTAAAAACTCAGCCTCTAACCAGCCCACGGAAGTGGGACCAAGCCCGGTCCCGCCCCATGCTCTTCCCGCTTCATATCAATCCATCCTCCTTCAAATTAACCTTGCCCTCAAGGTTGAAAATTCGTGGATCGGGAACTGAAATTTCCAGACATAGAATAGACTGGAAAATATTCTTCTTCTCTTTCCTGAACCCTTTCCTGGCCGGTTATTTCAAGGTTCAGCTCTTCATCCTCCTCGGCTATCATTACCCGCAGCTGCTTAAAAGGACATTCGTGTCCTGGTGTAAATGGTTTCTTACACCTAAAGCATAATCCTTTCGCCCGCAATTCTGCAAACTCTTTCGGCGGAAGTCGAGTGAACTGTGAGCGTGTCGTAGGCTGCCCGGACAGCCCTGACTTCGTCCCCGGAGGTTGTCCACTATCTTTCGCAAAGCTGCCCCCTGAACCCTGTACGCTGCCACCAATGGCAGTCAACGGGGGACCCGTGTTTGCCATTAAAAAGCTGCTAGAACGTACCCCTGAAGAATGATAATTCAGGCTGCCATTTTCTCCACTTTGGACGGACTGATTATGCTCCACATCGCGAGCTAATTCCATAGCCGTCTACAGATTGTTTGGCCGAAGTAATCGCAGTGAGCTTCGGATTGTTTCCTTAAGCCCACTCATGTAATAGCCCAAGTAATGATCGTCAGTTAGTCCCGGAACTTGGCTCGGTAGCTGAACAAACAAGATATTATAATCCTCCATAGACCCAGTTTGTTTGACTCCAGACAGTCGTTCAAACCTATTTCCCTGGAATCGGGAATCAAATCTGACCACCAGGGCTTGCTTGAAATCTTCCCTAAGTCATACCGGGTTTGCGTGATTTCAGCCAGGTTACCCAATAGAGCGCTCCCCCTTCCATAGCTACCACAGCGGCAGCCACCTTTGTTTCTGGTGGGGTGTTGTTTAATTCAAATTGTTGTTCTGCCCGGGCAATCCACCCGATTGGGTCTCCCCCCTCAAATGCAGGTAGCAATGACGGAACGGTGATGCGCGGAAGACCATCGCCGCTGTACGATGGCACGGCTGCACTGCCGACCGCAGCTGAAGAAGACGCCGGAGAGACCGGCGGCACCAGTGCCTGTGTCAGCGCCGCTAGGGAGGCGACAATTTCAGCCAATTTCACGCCGTGATCTTCCAGAGTGTTATTCATCCGATTTTGCTCCATCGCCATCCGGGCTTGCTCAGCCCCCAGTCGGGCTTGCTCCTCTCTCATGCGATTTTGTTCGGTCTCCATCTCTGCCAATTGATCGTTCTGAGATCTCGTCATCTTGGCGGGACGGGATCCGGCAGGTCGGACCAATTGATAAGAACAGAAAAATAAAATCAACGGGGTAAACCGTTGCCCAGAATAATCAGCGGGAAGAATCCGTTGCCCAAGCTTCTTTAGCTAATAAATCTGATTTTTTATTCCTCCCCATTGAATAGCCAGCGTGGGTATAAATAATACTCCAAACATCCAAGCTCTAGTAGGAAACTAAATGACCTAATTAACTGTACCTAACCTATCCTAGTGGGAAACAGAATTGCGCACAAAAGCCTAGGGGAAGGGAATTACTTGCGTACAAAGGAATTCTAATACGTAGTATAATAAATAGCAATAATAAAAGTACTTAACATAATTGAAGCTAATTAAATTAAAAACTCAGCCTCTAACCAGCCCACGGAAGTGGGCCCAAGCCCGGTCCCGCCCCATGCTCTTCCCGCTTCATATCAGATTGATTGTATGTTCCACACTGATTTTGCATAAAGTAGAAGCTTAATATGAAGTATATAATATCACGTCACACTTCACATATCAGGTTGATCTTTTAGAATGGAACTTTAGGTCAATATTTTAAAATTAAAATAGGAAAGTGGAATTTTTATAGACGAACTGTAAAAGAAAGAAAATATATTGGACATAAACAACACTTGGTTTTCATTAAAAATCACGCTAAAAGCAAATGAACTTTATAATTTGGGACAAGAGGATGCAACTATTCATGCATTTTACTTATTTTGTCTTATGCTCTTCATGAACCTGGATCTCATAATTTACCCATATTTTTTTCCCAGTTTTTTAATGCCAGTCTTGATGATAAAAAATTCGAACAGCTATTAATCATATTCCGGTTTTTTCAATGCAGAAAAGTTATGCTCCGTGTAGATGCAAAACAGGGGGCTCCTAAAGATGGGAACTCTCCTCTTGAACTCTTTCAGGTAATTGGCTCCAATTAGAAGATGACATAGAAATAGGACATTTCATCTTTATCTTAACCAATAATGAGTTTTCAGATGTACTTAAGGAAAAACAACAATGTGTGACGTATATGAGGGATTGTTTGTTTCCTCATCATTTGTTCTTAAATAATACTAAAGAGATTGTGCATTTACTTGTCTCTTTTTTCCAGGTGGACATCTACCCCTTGAAGATACACTTGACCGAGACAATGTACAGAATGATGTGGGAATATTTCTTCCCAGAAGAGGAACAGGACTCCCAGCGAAGACAGGTTGGAAAATGTGTACAAGTCAGAGAGAATCACGTTAAAACAATAATATAACAGTAATTTGAACTGTTCTGCTATATGGACAGGAAGTTTGGATTTCAACTACTGCTGGCTCAAGGCGCGCAAAGAAAGGTTCATCCACACATGAAGTTTCTACTGGCCATTTAACCAAAGATTCTCAGGTCTCTTCAAAATCAAGTATCTGTGTGCTACCACATACAGGTGGAACTGGTACTCAGTCTTCACTAGGTGATGTGCCTGAAGTGAGTATCTGATTCTTTCATATCTGAAGCTCACAACATTTCTGCCACAATGCCCTCATTTAATGTATTCTGTATTAGCAACACTTGCGTGAGACTTGTTACTTTTCAACTTCAAACTAATACCTTTGGGCTAAACACATGCACATTTGAAAATGCTTTTATGTTTAGCACACAAGTACTACTGAATGGCAGCCTGGTGCACGTTGGCATTCCCGCAAGGTGCGGGTCCAGGGAAGGGTCCCACCACAAGGGTGTATAAGGGGCAAGCCTTCCCTTGTCATTTTGACAAGAGGCCACTCCCATGACTTGAGCCCGTGATTCTCAGTCACACCGCAACACCGTAAGCGGTGCGACAAGACTCTTCTTTTACCACAAAAGTACTACTACGTCCAAAAATAGTATTGCTTGGTCAGGGTTCAATTTTATAAATTTGGCAAGGACAACCTTCATGAGTCTTGGAATAATACTCATATTTTTTATTTATTTTTGTTAACTAAATTTCTCGCATTGAACAAGTTTGTGGAGTTGCATGAGATGTGAGCTCGATTATATCAAATGCTATGTTAATCGAAATAAGTGTCATTCTAGCATATTAACGTGCTTCGTGTTGCAATTTTGAATGTGGTCTTTGTTGCCTTTGGTGAGTATTAGCATTCATTGTGTTATGTCTTTTTTAACATTTAAACAGGCATCAAAGTTGCAGCTCTTAAATACAAATGTTGTTTCTGGTATAACTCCACAACTACTAAGGACATCTTCCTTTGAAAGAACAAGGGAGGAAAGTGTTACTGAATCTGTAGCTCATGAACTTGTATCAAAAGCTCACTCTTCTGATGCACCATTGTCTTTGGCAAAATGTGAGATAAGAGCGCCCTGTATTGAGCAGCTGCCAGATGAAGCCTCCTCCAGGAATAATAAACCCAAACCTATCAAATCTGGTCGCTACTCTCATGAAGATAAAAAGACAGGAAAGGCAAGCGATGAAAAGAGATCCAGGCCACGAAGAATGAGAGAGTTCCACAATATTAAGATCAGTCAGGTTGGTTTGGTCTGGTCCTTTCACTTGATATTTGTGTTTTACTTTCTTCAGTATCACATTTGTTGTACCAACATGGCATGATTACTATGGAGTAGGTGGAGTTACTTGTGACATATGAAGGGTCAAGATTTGCAGTGAGTGATCTACGGTTGCTGATGGATACATTCCATCGTGTTGAATTTACTGGCACCTGGAGGCGGCTATTCTCCCGAGTTAAGAAGCATATCATATGGGGAGTCTTAAAATCTGTCACAGGAATGCAGGTAATCAATCAGTCAAGTACTCAAGTCAAGTACTCAAGTGAATATGTATTCTCTCCCCTATTAAATTCTATGGCCTAACAAGAAATGCAAACGGAAACTCTCCTAAAAACTGACAAAACCGAAGTGACCAACAACAGCAACAACAACATTTCCCCGATGCCGCAAAAGCTCCCACCTACAGTGGGGTAGGGGGGTTGGATGTATGCAGCCTTACCCATGTACTAAAGCACAGGGAGATTGTTTCCGGACGACCCATGATAAAAATCGCGTCGAAAATTTCATGGACTGACTACTGTTTTATAATAAAGAAGCGCAGACAGTTTAGTGAGCCATTTTGCTTTATTCCATCATATTCCCAAGCCAAAAAATAGTGAGTCTTTGGCTCCATTGAAAATGATCATCATCATTATCATCATTATTACCTCAGTGCCGCAAAGGCTCTATCCTTCGTTGGGGTAAGGGGGGTCGGATGTTTGCAGTCATACCCCTGTACTAAAGCACAAAGAGACGGTTTCTGGATGACCCATAGTGAAAATTGCTTCAAAAATTGCATTGACTAACTGCTGCTTCATAATAAAGAAACGCAGACAGTTTAGTGAGTCATTTTGCTTTATTCTATCATATTCCCAAGAAAACAAAATCGAGTCTTTGGCTCCATTGGAAATGATGGAGAACAAAAATTGATGTGACCGAACATATTAAATCATATGCGATTCGGTTGCAGTATAAGGTTTAGGCTTTAAAAGTCGACCTTACCGACCAAGCCTAAGTCGTCCAAAACTTAATTAAGTTATTCGGTTGATCAAACTGCACTGGCAAAGCTAACCCGACTGAAGCAAACAACCCTATTAAATTCAAATTATCAGAGTATTTTTTTTCCTGGGAAAAAACTTCAGCAAGGATTTTATAAAGTGCCAGAATAAATTTTTGCGGTCGTGCAGGGAAAGAAGTTCAAGGATAAAGTGCATGGTGGTGGTCAAAAAGAAGGTGGTGCCGGTTCCTCCGGAGTTCCCAGTATTGATCTTAACTTGAGTGATAGCGATGGAGAAGGTGGTGGCTCAGCTGGGAAGAGTGAGGAGCAGAACTCATTGATCTGGCCACCAAAGCGTTCTAATGATGGGGCGGGGGATCGGTTTGTGACGTCTGTTAGGGGACTCTTTAATTCACAAAGACGTAAAGCAAAGGCTTTTGTACTGCGCACTATGAGGGGTGAAGCAGAGAATGAGTCGACACATGGAGGGGGTGAGTGGAGTGATAGCGAGACTGAGTCCTCTCCTTTTGCTAGACAACTCACCATGACTAAGGCCAAAAAATTAATTAGGCGGCACACAAAGAAGTTCCGCTCAAAAAAAGGTTAGTACTCCACTACTCCCTCTAAGGCTCTATCCTAAAGATGCTGTTTCATCATTCATGTCATTTTGGCATAAATGTTAATACTAAAGACATTATTATTTTGGGTTGCTCATTTCGGTAATGTAATTAGTTGAGGGATAACAACTTTATTTTGGTCCATTTCAGACATGTACAAAACAGGGTCAGCCCGTTCGGCCTGCCCGGCTTGTCCTTATAAACGGGCGGATTTGAATCCACATATTTATCCCAACCTCACCCATATATCAATGTTATTACTACGTTTAAATAAATATTTTCTTTCCCAGCCCTAATTTGATTTTCTTGGACTAGACTATGCCAATGTTGTATGCCACACAAGTGATGATTACATAACTAATGGACATATTTTGGACAATGCATAATCAGGGGGTGGTGTATCATCTCAACCAAGAGAATCACTCTCCACGTCTCCAAGGGATACACCTTTCTACAGTGACTCTTCAAGCGGAACCTCGCCTCCTTATGAGGATTTCAACGAATAGCTCTGTGGTTATAGGTGAAGTTTCTACCCTGTACTGTGCAAAGGCAAACCACACTATGTGCAACGAGAAAGAAGCAAGCACATTCTGTAAGTGGCGACTGAATTTTATGTTTACATAAGTATATAGAGTACAGTAAAAAGCATGTGGAGTAGAGCGTGAGATGGGGAGGGGTGCCATATAATTTTTTAGTAAAATACAGCTGGTTAATTTTTTTTTGCTCGAAAGGATAGCTTTAATAGTCGGATTGTGGTCTTCCTCCAAATGGGAGTGATTGAGCACTCTGACTCTTACCGGAGTTGCAGCCTTGTGTACATTATGTGATCATAAAAGTAATTATTTATTTACAATTCCAAGTTAAAAGAGAAGAAAAACCACAGTTGTCTGTCCATGTGTTTCTATTTATCTACTTTCTTGCTCTAGCTAGTGTGAGTTACTTGAATTCCAAGTTTATGCTTTTGTCAAAGGCTTTGTGTACAGCAAACTGTACATCACATCGTATATCAGGCTTACTAGCAATTGTTATGTTAATATAGTCAAATTATTTGGTTTCATGCTCAAGCAAAATATTGTCTATGTGAATAATTGTTTATTTGTTACTTCAGCCATAATTGGCTTGTGTGACTTTTTTTTGTCATGCATGTGACTTGTTTTTACTTTTTGATTGTAAAAAGTTAAAAACTGATATGTTGTAAAACTGAACATCGAATTGAGAAAATCGAACCACAAATAACTGAAATAAAAAACAAAAAATTGTACTCCCTCCATCCCTTATAACTTTGACAACTTTCCTTTTTTGGGTGTCCCATTAACTTTTTCACTTTCCCTTTTAAGTAAAGAATTTGTGATTCCAATTAAATCTCTCTCCTCTGCACAAACCTCAACCACACAGTTTTTACTTTATTAGTCCACGTGCCGGTCAAACTTGGTAAAGTTATTAGGGATGGAGGGAGTATGTCGTATCAGCTTTGAACTTTGAGATGTGAACCAAACTGAATAAATTGGACTAATAAAATATGAAAGGGTAATTCTATTTACATCCATGAAATTGCTAATCATAGTCACCTAATTAAATTTAAATAAATAAAATTATACTCCTTCCGTCCCTATATAAAAGCCCCCATTAGTTTCAGACACAATTTAAGAAAGTGAGATTCTTTGGCCTGTTTGGACACTGTTGTGCATTGTTTTGTTTGTCAAAATGAGAGAGAATTTTTTTTTAGACAGTTTGAAAAGGAAAGAAGAGCTTTTATTTGGGGACAAAGGGAGTATCAATTACCTATTTTGTCCTTCCGCAAATATATGACCATCCATGTAATAATGTAAAGTCAACACAGAAAAAAACTTCGATCATTTGTTGGGGTGTTGACCAAATAAGTAGACCAAATAAGACTAGAGATGTTTTTACTTGGACTATAATTTGCTGGTCTGAACTGGTCTGGTCAGGTAAGCTAACACCAGTGTATAAAAACTTCATGTATTATCAAGGAACATCCACCTGTTTTGCAGCTCAAGTCATTTCACTTTTAGTGAAGGTGTAGAGCCGTACTAGTAAAATGCTTCCTTCATTTCTTGATTGAGGCTCGCCAGTTAGTGTGGAGGTGAGCGGCGGAAGTAGCGGAAGTAGTGAAGATGCGGCGCCGTACTAGCAAAAGGAGGGAGCCGTAAAATCCGTAATAGAAAACAAACCTTGATGTCTCCAATCACCACTACTTTCTCCTTGTTCATAAGTGCTCTCTGATCTTCACCATGAAAAGCTCTAAAATTCCAATCAAACCCGTCCTACTGTCCTACCCTAAGATCCTAAATATAAATGAGGGATTTAGGTTGCCCAGTCGATCTTGCTGGCCGATAGGAGAATCCTTGCTAGTTGCTGCAATAATTTAATGGGAAAGAAGAGAAAATATTGGTCACTTGCACCAATTTAATTTCATACCTAGAAGAGTCTAGGCTGCTTGAAGGATATTAAAGGGATTATAAAAAGGACTTTTAACTATTTATGGAAACGGGTGTGTGTTTAGTAAATGAAGGGGTGTGAATAGAATTTCCCAATATGAAATCTATCTTTTAATTATTGAGCTTATTAGGTTTATAATAGTGTTTGGTATTCTGTTAGTAGAAAATTAATGTAGAGCTAGCTATATTTATAATGAATCTCTAATTAAGGTGAACTATTATATTTATGCAAAAATGACAAAGATATTATTTTAGAGTTTTAATTGGACAAATATAGGATTACTCTACGGATAAAAAAGAGATCACTTTAAAAGTCAAGTTATTGAAATACCCTTGCTATAAATATAACTCTAGATGTGCTCCTCTTTCTGTGTTGGCTCTAAGAATACAAGCTAACCTTCTCTCTCTTCCTATAAAAACTTAGATCACTTTAAAAGTCAAATGATTAGAGTACCCTAACTATAAATATAACTCTAGATGTGCTCCTGTTTCTGTGTTGGCTCTAAGAGTATAGGCTAATCTTCTCTCTCTGCCTCCAACAGTCGTCTCCACGTCTCCGCCATGGCACATTGCCCATCGCTGCAATCTACATGTAAGTTCCTTCTGTTCTTCTCCTACTTGACAACTTGCACATCTTCGCCTCCATTTCTCTATTTTTGTTTCAAATTTGGTGATGGTGATGACGATGGCTTGAAATTCGTTATGGTGACATCGGCAAAATTTGAGGTGATGCTCTGTGTTAAGTTTCAGAATGCTGAAATAGTCACTGGTTTGACAATGGAGACACAATGATGTCACTGATAAGCGTGTTTGTGGTGGGTAGGTTTTGACGATATAAAAAAAGGTGGTCGCGGACTCGCGATGATGAGGCGTTCAGGGTGGGGCTGCTTCAAGGGTGAGAGCGAAGGGTTGATGATTATATATCCATCAAAGTTACTTCTGAAAATAGGTGGATGATTATATATCCATCAAAGTTACTTCTGAAAATATACTCGAATTTCCTTATTTAGAGCTCGTTTGATGACATGTTTTCGGCTTATCAACCAACCTTTTCTACAAAACATACAACTTTTGATTCCGTGCACTAAATTATGTAATTGTCAAAATAAGTAAAGTTGGAGATACTTTTAGGCGGAACTTGCCGCAAATGACCATTTTAACTATTTTCATATATATTTTATTTACTTTATTAATATATTTATTCCCTATAATTTGGCAAATTGAGCGAATTCAGTCATTTCAGTCAGAAATTCATGAACTTTAGTAGAATCAACCGATTCAGTCAATTTTAATATTACCAAACGAGCATTTTATTATTTATTGCCTAAATAATCTTATCATTTTTTTAATGAGAAACTTGAGTGGGGCAGAGGTGGTAATTTTTTTTTTTGGATGAAATGTAAATATATATTAACACCCAGAAAAAACTATACATCAAGTGTCCTAGATTTCCTAAAACCTCCCCCCACCCCCACATAATGTGAGGGTGAAGAGAGGTTTTTTCTCGATCTAATCCACACCAAAAGGACCAAGCATAAATACTTGCCCAATCAAAAAATCAAACATACATCCGTGCTACTTAAGTAAGCAATTAGAGCAGAAGTTCAAAAGTTAAAAGAAATACAAAGGTGGCCCCCGTCCAAGACGCTACCTCATGCTGTGGCATCCAAGATGTCCATGCCTCGTTGTCCGAAATGTCCAAGCCGCGGTATCCAAAAGGTCCATGCCGCGACATACAAGTGTCCATGTGGCAGTGTCAATTAACTTCAAACCTCGGCATCCAAAATATCTATGCGTTGGCCTTCTGTAAAATTTAACCAAGTCATGTGGATATATACTGAATAGTATCTTATATACCACATGCTTGATTTTCGCAATGGTCTCCTCCTCCTTCACATCCGCTTCGTCAAATCGGTTGGCATTCCTAGCGTGCCAAAGGTAATAGACCGTCGCACAAAAGGCAATACGAGCAGCTTTCCCTTTGATCTTCGATCCTTTATGATTCTTCAAAATCCATTTGACTGAGCTATCATCTCCCTTGTTAATCTCAACCAGTCTTTAATATGCTCCCAAACCCTACAAGTGTAAGGACAAAGAAAGAAGAGGTGTGACATTGTTTCCAAGCCACCCTTACAAAGGTCACATCGGTTAACAATATGCAAGTAATTGAGGTTATCCTGTGTAGGTAACCTGTTACGCAAGGCAAGCCAAACATTAAACGAGAATTTGGGAGGGATATAAGATTTCCATATGAAACTCATACAAGCTCGAACCGTCCCTTTAGTTCTCAAAAGTTCATATATCTTACCCGATACTAGTTTCCCATTCTCGGATCTAGCATTTAGACCCATTATAGTATCATTTAGGTTGTTAAAACATCTCTTGATTTGGTCTCGGATGTGAGGGCAGAGGTGGTAATTAATTCTATAAGACGACGAGAAATTCAAATTAAGTTCCCATTTATTGTTCAGATACTTTCTCTCCCAACTACACTTTTTTTCTTCCACTCAAAATTTTGTCATATTTTTTTAAGTAATGGATTTATGATTCAACTCAATCTCTCCATCTACGAGCCTACCATTTTTTACACTAAATACAAAGTTGGCTATGTATAAGAAAAAATGTCCTATAATAGATTATGGCGGAGCAGGGAGGGTCGTGGACAAACATCTAATGACCGGTGTGGTTCACGGGACAAATTTGGTTAGTAAATTTGTATGGATCTTGCACTACCTCCCACCCCACTTCATTTCCGTGTCTACTTCAACCGTCACTTAATAATTTCTATACCGGTTAAATCAGATAGAATCATTCTTCATGTCTCCTATATATATATGCCCTATCTTGCACGGGAACGCGAAAACCATGAGGAAATGGGAAACGGGAAACGTCAAGTTTTGCTCAAAAAACGCTTGTTTGGAGAACTTCTAGAGAGTTTATGTGCTACATAGTATACGCCCCTATGAAAGAAAGCTAAAGTAGGGAGTGAGTGTTACGGTCAGATTACTAAGCCAATATTCGACCGAGTATTCTAGGAGGAATTTGATTTTCATGTAAAACCGAGTCGATAATTTTTGAAAAATTAGGTCCCGATATTTACTTCGTATTGTGAAGCAGAATCATCAATGAAGTATTTTGTTTAGCAATTTTCTCATTTTGATTCGGTAATCAAACTGAATCCAACCCTATCATCCTTGCTTAAATATTATAGGCATATTAGTAAGGATGGCAATGGGACGGGGACCCGTGGGGAACCGCCCCGTGGGGGAAGGATGGGGCGGGGCTTGGAGTGGGGCGGGGGCGGGGATGGGTGAGATATTTTTACCCCGTTAAAATATGGGGCGGGTGACGGGAATTGCTACACCCGCCCCATCCCCCCCCCCCCCCCCCCCGTTATAAATATATACTTAAACACATATATATACACATATATAAATAATGTACAAACATATTAAATTAAATTATGTGTTGTATATAACAAACGCATATACATATACATATACATATAGACATACATGATTGTATACCTTTTAGTCATGGTTAGTGAATTAATACATATTATACAAGAATAATAATAAGTTAGTAATGATTAAAAATATTTTACATAAATGTTATACTCCATATGAGTTTTAAGAGTGAGAAAGTGAGTAAATAAGCACACCTACATTTATATGTAACATGTAATTAATTGTATTATAATTGTTGAAAATTTTGGAACGACGTACATGATGATAATATGTTTACTTATATTTTAACTTTAACTGTCTTCAATTCACAAAACCCATTCAAATTGAAAAATTATTAAAATCGGCGGTCTAAACTTTTAACAATACTTCAGTGTTGCATATTCGTGTGTGTAGATATATATAGATTTAGGATCAAATTAGAACAATGCTTAACGTGAGAACATGGGAACACCACATTTACCCCCAATGTGACACACAATGAGGCTCGCACAATGCAATTTTTTGTATCAAACATAATATTTACAAAAGTGGCACCGTGATTATTTATATTAGCTAGTATTGAGCAAAGTCAATATGTGCATTAGAAGGGCTCTATTGTGTATCACATTGGATTAAATGTGAGTATGCTCACGTTCTCTCGTTAAACATCGTTCTCACGGGAACTGCACCATATATTTTTATAATGGATTAAAAGTATATGCAAATACGATAAATTAAATCTATATGGGGGTACCTGCGGGCCCCCGTGGGGACAACGGGGTGGGGCAGGGATGGGGCGGGGATGGGGCGGGTCTGAGAGTAACAGGGGATGGGGCGGGGATGGGGGGGACTTTTTAGACATGGGGCGGGGAATGGGGGAGTGTACCCCCGCCCCAAACCCGCCCCATTGCCATCCCTACATATTAGAGGTAAAATACATCCTATAGCTGGCTCTACAGTGCGCACGGTACAATCGGACTTTATTGGGCTTCTGCGCTTCTTCAACCTGGCCTTCGCCCAAGCTTTTACGCTCCGGCTTCGCGCAAAGCTTCGCACCAAACTTCTCTGATTTCGCTTGCTTCTTCGATCTGACTTCACACTAGGCTTACCTGTCGCCAACATTCACCCCCTTCTCCTTCAGCTAGATGCTCGTCGCCGCCTCTCACCACTCGCCCCTGCTCCTCACAGGTCGATCTGCCTCTCACCGCCGACGTTCACCACTCGCTCAAACAGTGGCTCCGGCGTAGTTACCTCTTCTCCTCTATCTTTCTTTCCACTCTTTTTCTTTTTCTCTTTTTTCTGACACAGTTTTGCTATTTGATCTTGTGATTTTGGGAGACGAAGAGATTCTAATTCATTGCTGAGGAATCCTTGCTGTTTTTGATCTCAAATGAGTTTTATATTAAACTCCAATGAGTATTGTTTAAGCAAAATTTTGATAAGCTAAAACTAATTAAAAAGAAAATTATATGTAGGTAGGGTCTCGTACAAGAACAATGAAGAAGATGACAACTAAGCAAATAAGAATGAAGTTCAGTGTATTATTCGAATGTGTAGCTACTGTAGTACAATAGGGGATGTCCTATTTATAGGAAGGGTAGTTAATGCTCTCATGATAGTTTTGTTCGTTACTGACGGGTTGGCCGCCCATTATGATGATTTCAAATATATCATAAAGGCTGGTCAATTACAATTAATATCTTCCTTAATCACATTAAAGAGCCGAATAATGCATAAAAAACGTTACAATAATTGTCATTAGGCCTCATGAACGTATCATTAACTTCTGTGGTCAACCCTCTTTAATGCAACATAAACCGTCAATTTCTTGCTCTAACAAGTATACACCTAAAAGAAATGAACTCACACAAATTAATATTGAGCACATTGAAAATGAGTCTATGTTAAACTCAAATGAGTATAACGCCCATAATGAATGAGCATACACAAATGAGTTTAGAATTTTTAGATACTCATCTTATAAGTTATGTATGTTCATTTGGTACTGGTTTATGTTCACTTTAAAATGTTTCACATTTTTTTTTAACTCCAACTGATAGATATATTAATTCACCAAATCATGTGCCAACAGGCTTACAATAGAATTACAATAGAATAAGGAATACTATCATACCAACAGAACTGATCCGAGATAGACACGTGTGCTCTTGCTAAAGCATGGGCAACACGATTCGCGGATCGTTTACAATAAGAGACGCTAAAATTACTCTTATCTTGCACCAAATGCCTAATATCATCCAGAATAAGGAAAAGGTAAGAAGAACCTCCTTCATTTTTTAAGGCATGGACCACCGAGAGAGCATCAGTTTCCACATCTACATGAGACCAGCCTGCCGCAGCCGCTCCCATCAACGCATCCCGAACACCCATAGCTTCTATTTCCACCACTGACCAGCTAGCTGCTTCAGAGACCCCTTTCGCCATCAAGAAATTGCCATAATGGTCCTGTGCCACCCATCCCCAGGACCTAGTATGTGTATTTTCATCCACCGCCCCATCCACATTAATTTTTACAACACCCTCTCGCGAACGCTTCCAAACTGTCAAAGAATTATTTTCTCTCCTAGCCCGATCTGTATTCTCAGTCTCAGAGCCTTGCGCATCTCTCCATCCCGAGATAATTCTTGCCGCTGAGTTGATAACACCCGCCGCTCCTTGCCATTTGTCCTTCCAGACACATCCATTTCTCCTCTTCCACAGACT